ATTAGACATCCATTTATTTGCAGGCTCAAATAGAAGCACACTAGCAAAATGACACAGAAAACAAATGACTTTGGAGAAAATGCTTTAAGGTTTCATCGGCTCTACTGAGTTGGTGAAACAACTCATAATTCCAGCTATGAAAACTCATATCGGTGCTGCAGAGGCATCAACGTGTCTCCAAGAGAAAATATAGATCGGATCCAAACAGAGTAACAGCCCCCACCATGCCACTTCTCGCCCACTTCCGCTGCTTAGCTCATCCCGTTTCTCTCTCTGCTGCCCTCTTTCCATAACAACCGTTTTCTTTCCTTTGTTTTTAATACAGCTCTCATCTTTCATTTCACTTCTTTCTGCCTGTCTGACGATAAACGCAAACACGTGATGAAACGAAACAAACTGATTCATGAAAACACAGCAGTCAGTCGAAGCTTAATCATGGATTATGAGATTAGACAGAGGGAGAAATTCAGGATGTTTGTGTAGACGGTGCAGCGATACAAGTGGATGCTGGTGTGTTGTTTTTATTCATCCATTAGGCTAGCTTGTCTCTTACTGATTTGGATCTGAAAACGCCAACCTGCTAACTGCGCTATTGATTACTCAGAGTACATTAGCTGGGCCCGCAGACAATTAGTGGCTTTTATTAGACACATCTGTTACCATCAAAGAAATAGTTCAGTTCAGGTCATTTCTCATCAGGCTGCAGGGCTTACAGCAAAACCTAAATAAAAGATTAGCACAGTCACTAGGCTTGAAACAACACAGTCTTAAAGGGTTACAGCAGTTCATCACTTTTTGATGTTAGGAGTTAATCAATTAATATAGAATCTGCAGGAGATACGTATTTTTATTGTTTTTCTGTTCTGTTGTTGTTGGTGCTGCAAATATAGAGGGTTCAAAACCAGCACAAATTTCCTTAAATCACCCACAAAACAGTCAAAAATGACAAAATGGTGTAAATAAAGGAAATATTCAAACAAACATGATTGGTTTCATCCTGTGTGAAACATATTCATGAGAAGGATTTCTTCTCTGACACCTGGCAGATTGAAGCACAGTACTTCAAATCCCCTTTTATTGATTATAAAGTAGCATTTACTTCAATGCATATTTGATGTGCATGGAGTTTTATTTTCCCGTCGGATGCTTATTCTGACACTTTAAATGTTTTGTTCTCAGTACATGTTTTGCTCAGGAGGGTAAATGATGGCGCGCCGCCTCCCACCTCCTTCTCCAGTGGAAATCAGAATAGCTTCTGAGTGAGTAACTATTCAGTGGCATTAACCCGCAAGACGCAATATTGCAGGAACCAGTTTGAGTCCCAGGAACAATCTGTGTTGTAAGGACAAGAGGACATAAGGACAGCACAAGTTAGTGTTTGATAGAGGAAGTGCTCCACCAGCTGTGGCACAGCTGTAAATTGTTACATTCGCCAATAACCTTGGGCTGTTTTAGGTATATGAGCTGTTTTTTTTTTTTTCCACCTGTGTTGTTAAACCAAACCAAATGGAAGTGACGCATTTTGTGTCACACTGACATTAGACCTCTCCTATACAAATTTCTGCTTCAAGGTCAAATTCAGCATTGCACAATATAATGAGAAGAGTCCCGGATGCTATTTGGTTGCATACTAAACTGAGTTCTGTTATTTACTGGGAGGATGAAAACGGAGCAAATAAGAGAGGAGGAGGATGATGGCTGTTCACCCCGTCCTCTCCCTCTTGTCCACTGTATTGACGGATGACGGAGTGCAGATGGGGGATGTGATGTGAGGGGATGAATGGATGGACACCATAGAGCAGCGGGAGGGAGAGAGCGATGACATCACCGCAGAGTCTCTTTCCGGCCAATCCCCTCAGAGACCCTCCCCACCCTCTCCACCCTCCCACGGCTCTTTGTTGTTGCTACGGCAGCAGCTCCATCCCGCCTGATTAAGGCATTGTTTGGGGTTGATAGTAATGCAGCATGGTGTACATGTGATGCGTCAGTATCTGCAGTCCAGCAGAAGAAGTCGTCTCCTGTCTTTGCTGTTTATATTCGATCATATCCAGTCATCCGTCTCTACCCGACTCCTTTGCTGCGGCTCTTCTCCCTGCACCGTTCTGACTCTCCATCTTACCACGTCTATGTCAGAGTAATTTTTTCTGTGTATTGTTGTTTTTATTGGCTGTAAAATGAAAATAGCAGAATCAGTTATTGGCATAGATTAGGACAAATTGGGGATCAACTATGAATAAATTTTGTTGGTATTCAACAATGCAAATATGAGATGTTCTTTCAGCTAATGAATATTCCAGATTTTGAGAGCATTGATTGTTGTGTGCAAAAGTTTTAAATCACTTCTTATCTGAGGTCTTTTCAATTTTTTGTTTTTGTTTTTGTTTGACTTATCTTGAAGTCTGCTCAAAGAGAAAGTGGACAATAAGAGAGACAAAATTGAAAGTTATGTACAAAACTGGACCATGCTAAAACATTTCCAAGTGTTTAAATATAAGGGGAGATTTTCACCATACATTTCAACTACAGATAAATTTTATCTTTCACTCAAATAATGTTATTGTTTTATAATGGTGGATTTATGATGCAAATGTTACTAGAATCCTATTAAGTAATGTAGTTGTAGATATTAAAGCATGGTAAGTGCTGATACTGCACTTAAAGAAAACGTGTTACACTTAGTATTAGCTAAAGGGTGTGCATTATTTTCCAACTAGATTGCTACAGCTTTTTTATTTTTCACATTTCCCCTCTAGCAGTTTTTGTTGTTGTTGTTGTTGTTTTGTTTAAATAATACTGCTTTCCAGAGATATTAATGGTAATTTTTATTTTTCACAGATGAGTGTAGATGTTTCAAATCCACTGTAAAGGGAGCAGTGAGTTCATATATATATATATATATATATATATATATATATATATATATATATATAGTTTTTATATATGTTATATTCTATCTTTGTGTGAAACTACTTGCTTTGATTGCCTGTCACTTTGCTGTTGTTGCACAGAAATATGCCCCCTGTGGAATAATAAAGGATATTTCTACTCCTCTTTTTGTAGCAGATTGACTGTTATATCTGTCAAATTGTGTTATGTTTTGTGTTTTTATGACCTTGACAAAGAGAAACAACTGTATTCTTGCGAGGCTGCTGGCAGTGAAACTGGTTTCTTGCTGAGCTGTAAAAACAAAACACTCGTCCTTCTCTTGAGTAATTCATAGGTTAGAGCTTCTCCTGACATGAAGCATCAGAACCTCTGTGACCTTTCTACTGTAGCAAATTATGTTTGTTTATAGAATTATCTAATTCTGCAGGAAAACACAGAACTTTGAGGTTTCGCAAAAGCAGTTTAAACATATGCAAGGAAAACGTCTGCCGTGTTTTCCTTGCATTTGTCGTTTGTTGTTTATTTGCATCTGACAGCAAGACATGACTCAATTAAATGGGGGAATTTGCAACATAAACTAGTGATTGCATGAGATATACCTCGAAGTATTTCAAACTCGATTAGACTGTGAACATTTCAAAGCTTCTAACACAGATTTGTATCTGCATATAAATCATAAATCAAATACATTTGCATATTTTGCCACAAATACCCACCCATATTTGTCCCTCCTATCTATCTCTCTTCCAGGTTGAGCTTGTTTTGCTTTCAGTCTGTTTTTGTCTGAATTCTCTTCCTGTCATCTGCTGCCTCGCTGCTCTCTTTCCCCTGTAACCATGGAAATGAGATCAACATGCAAATACCTGAGCACACTCTGAGGCTTGTGTGATGGGAGATGCAAATTGCATCCGCTTGTAGGATTACACTCCCACGCACACGCAGATGCGCGCTCAGACTTATGCACACACACGCACATGCATGCAGGGACGTAAGCACTCCCACCTGCACCGAAAACACACAGAGCCGGTGCAATAGGTGAGTTTTAAACACTGCAAGATTAGATAAAGTGTTGGGGAATGTAATAAAACTAAGCACACAGCAATGATAATGTAACAATCTACGTGTTTTCCCCCCCCCCCCCTAATATAAAGCAATTTATATTTAACTTCTTGTAACACAGATAATATTAATATTTAAGTTCAGCACAGTATGAAATACCTGAAGTTCATGTCCAGTGCATGCAGGAACATCTTACCACTGACCATTATGTTAATGGTCAATGACGAACAGAGAACATAGTGGAAAGGTCAGGACTAAAGTTGTGGTAAAGGCTAAAATCAGGGTTAAATACATCCTGAAAGAAAACCTGTTAAAGATCCTAAACACCATGGGAGTAGATCAAAACATTTTCCTAGTTAAAACTGCAGTCAGGCCCATGATGCCTCAGTCCAGATTAGAACATGTAGAATGATTTGAAAACTATTCTTCACAGAGATCTCTGTCCTGTATGACTGAGTTCACACTGTTTTGCAAAGAGGAACGGATAAACAAAGGAATGTAGATGTGAAAAGCAAAATGGAGGCTTGCTAGAGTGATGTATGAAAACAAATACGTGATGCACTGACCAGATGTTTGTGCATTAAAACAAGTTTTAAAAAGTAATGTTTTGAAAAAGTAAATCATTAGTTTTTTGTTTTTATCTTCAATGCCATGAAGTGTGGTATGAGACGCATATGGGAAGGTTCTTAATTTAATTTTGTCAGGATACATAAGATTTTTTTTTCCTAACCTAAGTTTCATTTTTGCAAAACAATTAGATCATTACATTTTCCTTTGATGAGTCTGTGACAAACAATATTGAATAAAGTTATTGTGACATTTGGGACTGAGGGACATGCAACTTTATCAGCTGATTTCCATTCAGTTTTTTTTTAAGAGTTTAACAGCTTCTGGTGTTTCACTGTCGCCTTCAGTTTCATTGATGTCTTCTTGCTTTTTTTTTTTTCAATGAATCAACGAAGGCTCTGTGATTGGCTGCTGCTGGTTGACGTCACCTCCGCCGTGACGCGATATGCCCATTCATAAAAAAAAAAAAAAAGAAAAACAAGAAAGGAGAGTTCTTAGGGTAGACACACACAGAGGAGGAAACAAGAAGCTGAATGGATTCGGTGATGCGCAGATAGAAGAGGCGCGAGGGGGAAATCCAGCACAGAATCCGTGCGCGAGCTTTCTTCAGCTTCGGAAGGCGAAGAGATAAATATCAGCGAAACCCCCCAAAACCCCTGACACACACAATCTGCGTCGTGGAGCCATGGAAGACTTGGGCGAGATGGACTGCACGGTGCTGAAGCGGCTCCTGAAGGACGACGGCGGCCGGTGCTTGGTGCTGGACTGCCGCTCCTTCCTCGCCTTCAGCGCCGGGCACATCCGAGGCTCCGTCAACGCGCGCTGCAACACCATCGTTCGGAGGCGGGCGAAGGGCTCCGCGCTGAGCCTGGACCAGGTCCTGGCCGGGGACGAGGAGGTGCGGGGCCGCCTGCGCTCCGGGATGTACTCCGTCGTGGTGCTGTACGACGAGAGGACGCCGGACTCGGACTCGGTGAAGGAAGACAGCACGGTGACCCTGGTGCTCAACGCGCTGTTCAGGGACTCCCAGGGAACACTGGTGTACCTGCTGAAAGGTAAAATAGCTCCCATTAACCCACCTTTACTCACTCACTGACTACTGACTACTGTAAATCAATCAATCAATAAATTAGTAATAATAATAATAATAATGATTAAAATAACAACAACAATAATAATGATTAAAATAACAACAATAATAATGATGATTAAAATAACAACTACAACAACAACAACAATAATAATAATAATAATAATAATAATAATAATGTGCACAGTTATCACAATTATTTCACATTGTCAGGTAATATGGAAACATCCATATGTATATATATATTTATATAGTCAATTGTTCACAGCTCAGTGGCTGAGTGGATGAGGTAATGCTGAAGTGTTGAAGCCACATGAAAATAATACAGGCTCTGCACAGCCTGTATTATTTCACAAGGATTCCTCCGTGGGGAGTGAAAAGGGACAAATTGAAAAGAATGATGATCATTTTTTAAAAAATGGAAAAAATTGGAAAGTCAGATTGTCTGTTGTATATTCTGAAAGCAGAAGCTGCTGCAAGCCGTGGCGCATCGTCTTTTTTTTTGTATGTGTGTGTGTGTGTGTGTGTGTGTGCCAGCATCCTAATGATGCAGACGGCTTGAAGCTCAAGAGTCTGAGCGGCTGGTGAACATGACACATCACGGTTAATACGGTTTGACACAAGCCGCTGTGGTCAGACTGCAGTTGACTATTCCCTTTGGAAGGAAATGTTTTCAATCAGTTGAAAGATGCACATTCAGTTTGCATATCTTCATTATCTGTAAATGTGTTCATCAGACATTAACATGATGGTTAATAATATATTTTTTGTCTTCTTCTTGTTTGTTTCCAGGGGGATATGATAGATTTTATGCAGAGTATCCCGAGTTTTGCTTAAAAAACAAATCATTGCCGTCCTTCACCAGCCAGTCCAGCATCGACTCCTGCTCATCCTGTGGGACACCGCACAACGATCAGGTAAAACCTTCACCCTCTACATTAAGAAACTAAAAAAAAACCTTGAGCACATTGAAAATATTTACTTTTGTAAGGTGTCACTGTGATATTTCCTCAAATATTTAAAATATCAGAAATGTATAACATGACTTCATGTGTCAGTGTTTCTAACCAAAACCGAACAATGATCTGTTGAAATAATATCATTTAAAAGAAAACTGAAAACATTTCGTGGTAGTTTTGCTTTTAGTTTAGGTGAGCTCATTTGACAATAATCATCAGTTATCACATTCTTATCAATTTGGCTCTAATATTTTCAAAGTTTGATTGGATTTTCTATATTTTGTTCATTTTCACAATCGCAAGTTTTATATCCACTTTATTTGTTTGACTTATTTTTTTTTTCTCGCAACATTTTAATGTCCTAACAGCACATATGGTTACACTTGTTTTTATGAAAACACTCCTTAGAATGACTACTTGGAAAATGTAATAATGTTTTCAGCTGGTTATTGTGCTAAATGTGTTTTTCTTTTTGATGTTCTTATGGTGAATTTGCTCTTCAATAACCTGCTTTCAGCTCATAAACACACATAACCTCCTTAAGAGTGATTAGGTTTCAGACTGTAGTTGTTTTACATGACCGGAAATATTGATAAAGATATATTTGTCTTCCACCAAAGTTGCTACCGAATTTAGCATGTTATCATTACATATTTTGCTTAAGTATACAAATAAAAAAAAAATAAATAAATGTTACAAATCACATTATTCTAACTGTAATAAATCAAATCTGTTACCAGTTTAGCAGAAGCCTGAATCATTGTTGTTTTTTTGTGGTGTTTTTAATTCAGGTCATTCTGCTGTGAGAGTGTCAGGCAGGCCCATACCTTCTTTCAGACAGATCCCAGGGTTATGAGTGCTTTATTGAAGGCCTCATGTTTTATACTAACTTCCATACTTTCACCAGTCTTGGGGCAACTTTAAATTGATTAGAATGCTTTAAAAAAGTCACCTAATGGAGTGGGCTGAAAGTTCGGCATCGATTCAGCTCTCAGTGACTTCCTGTGACCTAGCTGGCCTTGTTTTTTTGTTGGACAGTGATCTGTTTGTTTGAGCCTGTGGATTTTACGCAACTCTCGCAGTCACATGTGCTTTGGGTTTAATTCCCCTGGAATTCACGAGGCCAACAGACTTAGACAACCCAGCTTCTGTGTGCATGTCTGCGTTCTCCAAGAAAATCACTCCATTGTCCTGTCAGGTGCATTTTTTTGCTTATTAGTTTAAGAGAAGGATGCAACTTCCTGTGGCAAATACGATGGAGTGAGTGGCCGAGAGCGATGCAGCCCACTCTGCCCCTCCCCACTCCGCATCTCTCAGCCATATTGATCATTTCCTGACTCTGTGTCAGTACCGAATTCGTCAGCAGCAGTGACATAAACAGACAGAGCTTTTTGTCAATAAGCTGTACTGCCGGTATGGACGGCTGCTGATCCGTTGACGTCTCAGGTCCGGTAAAAGGGGGGCTCCATGTTCATTAGGTAATATGTTCATAAGGGGCTCAGAAATATAAGTGAGGAAGAAGTTTTCATATTGATGGAAGCCAACATCACATTTAATGTCTGATTGACAAGTCAAATTTTTCAAACAAGTCAAAGCAAAAACAACCTTTTTACATTCTCAAGGAGGTTTTATGATTATTCATAATATGTGCGTTAGCTACCTGCCTGTTATTGCACATGGCACTGAGACGCTTTTGCTTACAGAGGAGCAGCTGCAGACATGTTCTTCTCAGAGCAGCAAAGTGCTGTGAAACCACATTAAAAACATGTTGGTATTTCAGTTGAATTATGTGGCTTCATCCGGGGATCGCCATGACTCATAAATATACAACCTAAACAGTTCGACTGCGTTTCTCACACACAAAATAAGCCCATTTCTATCTAATAAGAAGCTCTGTTAATGCGGTTTAGAAAATATAAAGCTGTAGTCAAGTCACTGGGCCTATGCGAATGCTCGGTTCTCTCCGACATGAGACATTTATTACTAATTCAGGGATGGCTAGTGAAGATCTTCCTCATGTTGGTGTCTCCAGGGGGGCCCCGTCGAGATCCTGCCCTTCCTCTACCTTGGCAGCGCCCTTCACGCCTCCAAGAAGGAGGTCCTGGACAGCGTCGGAATCTCCGCCCTGCTGAACGTGTCGGCCGACTGTCCCAACCACTTTGAGGGCACTTATCAGTACAAGTGCATCCCAGTGGAGGACAACCACAAAGAAGACATCAGCTGCTGGTTCCTGGAGGCCATCGAGTTCATAGGTCAGTGTCTGACGGGAGTGTGCTTGCATAACATGACGGGCTGCAATGTTCATGTTTTGCTTTGTGCTGTTTGAGTTGCACACAAATTGATGGAAATAGCAATTTTCAACAATATTAAGGAATTATTGAATTAGGACAACATCCTACATCTTCCCAATAAGTTATTTTTGTCTTATTTTGAGTGTCCTAAAATATCTGCACCGCGCACTAGAACAAACACACTTGGTAAAATGTTTTTGCAGCGCTTGTTACTCATTTTTGTTTTTGAGTGCATTCAAGTGTGCTTTTACTTTGCGTATTGGCGAGTTGGTGTTAGCATGGGCTCTGATGTCTATGCGTGTGTGTGCAGGTGAAGGTTGCTGGTATGCGTCATAGTTAGCTGCTGTGGGACTAGAGTCTGACTCATCCGGTGTTACCGAGTGAACAAACGAACAAACTCGATGCTGGAGTTAGCTTTCAATCTGTCTGTATGAGAGTGTCTGTTAAAGAGACAAATTAGGGCAAAGTATTAACGATTAGAGAATCTCAATGCCAGTCCAGCTCTTGTCTGATTTGTCTGTGAAAAATTGAGAAAATTCTTGAGAAGTACTGCAAAAATAAATAACTACTTTACGGTTCAGACTTTGTGCATTCAGCTGCGCAAGATGAAAAATCTAGTTCTTGTAAATCCTGTCATCAAACCATTACTTAAATCTTTAATTTTTTTTTTCATGTGAAAGTTAGAGCGTGAACGCACACTGAGAGGGAGCCATAAATAGGCCAGAGGAGGAAGTGTGAAAGACAGAATGATTCATATTTTGCACTTGTGTGTTTCAGTTACTGTAGATGTGATTTGCAGCGTTCTCACTTTGAGGTTAGTTATCGGTTTGAGAGCACACAGAGGCATGAAAGTGCGTAGGAGAGAAAAACGAAAGCGGTTTTTGGGTGAGGCGTCACTGTACATCTGGTGTGACAGAAGCGACTTGCTGGGTGTAAAAATAATGCTCATAAAGGGCGAGGAAAAGGTTGGAGGTTTCAAAGAATGACTTATTTTAATACACAATACACATTTACTTTTATATTTGTTAACTAAGTATTTACTAAGAGATTTATTTTGTGGAAAAATGTATTGAAAAAGCAGAGACATTAGATATTTAAAGGAGTCAGTTGTATTGACACTGGGCTTGAGTTGGAAATCTTTTCCCCTTAAAAACTAAAAAAAATAACTTTTAACCTTGTTGTCTTTCTGATATTAAAATCTATTTGATTTTCCTAAACAACTAATTAAGCATGAGGAAAAAAAGCAAAACAAAGAAATAAGAGTGGTCAATATTTATCATATTGTTTACCGTGATAAATTTCATATCATGTTAAGAATCTTGATGAATCGCTATCATGATAAATTCCAATTAATGATGTTTGAAATTCCCTCAAAGCTATACTTGTTGTCAGGATTAATCATTCTACCACTTGTTCAATGAAAGCATCAATAAATACTAACAAATTTGAAAATACAGTTAACAGTATGAGGTTTATAAATGATATAAATTATACTTATTGATGTGATTGGTATCCTAAAGAAATGCATGACCTTTTTCAAGAACATTATCTGTGTTTGTGGGGCTATGATTGTTAAATAGTCGTCACTTTTATTGCTATCACAATATAGCAATAAATATCGGGATAAACTTTTAAATCCATGTTGCCCATCCTTCCAAAGAAGAGATCTGTACTTTTCCAAATAACTGTATTTCAAAACAGGAAAAAACCCTGGGCCTTGTGTCAACATATGTTTTGGTTGGAGATTTAATTGCTGTCATTATTAGCAGACGTCTGAATTGTGATTCGTCTGTTCCCCCAGATTCAGTGAGAGACTCAAGTGGACGAGTGCTGGTCCATTGTCAAGCAGGCATCTCCCGCTCCGCCACCATCTGCCTGGCGTACCTGATGAAGAGGAAGCGGGTGCGTCTGGACGAAGCCTTCGAGTTCGTGCGCCGCCGCCGCAGCATCATCTCGCCCAACTTCAGCTTCATGGGCCAGCTGCTGCAGTTCGAGTCCCAGGTCCTCGCCACGTCCTGCGCCGCCGAAGCCGCGGCCACGGCGAGCCCGTTGCTCGGACCCAAGTCCACGGTGGCCAACGGCTCGACGGCCGTCACGCCCACGTCTCCGTTCATCTTCAACTTCCCGGTGTCGGTGGTGAACCCGGCCTACCTGCACCACAGCCCCATCACGACCTCACCCGGCTGCTAATGGACAGCTTTACCCCACATCCTGACTCAAAGTGAGAGCAGACTGGGCCGGAGGAGGAGCTCTCGGTGTCACTGACCTCTGCGGCGTCTCCATACTTCCATGACACGGAGGCAAGAAGCGTCACGGTGCCTGAAAAGGACCTTTTTTTTTTTTTTTTTTTCCTTTCTTCTTTTTTAATTTCACAAACCAGCCAACACTCAGTCAGTTTTCACGAGAGACTTATTCCAGTTGACCAAAAAAAATGAAAGGTCTTTTCTAGACTTGTTCGTCATTCTCGCAGAGTGTTGGACTGACTTCAATTCAAAGACACACTTCTCTTCCAACATGCACAGAGGAACACTGACACACACACTCACACTCACAGAAAGCGAACACGGTGAGGCCAGCGGACCTATCTTCCCCTCGCTCCCACGCACACGTTCATGCCTGCCGACTGAATAAGCTCAGTATGAAGATAGCTTGTTTCTATGGAGACGAGGTCTTTAGGAGAGGAGATGGACACAGGAAGGAAGGGGGGAATTTTAAGCACTCCCTCTTTCCTCCTCGGGTGTCCCTCCTGTCGCCGGACAAAGGAGATGGATGGAGATGGAAAGAGGGAGGGGAAAAAAAAGAGGGTGACAGAAAGCAGGAGCCTCTTCAGTGACAGGTGTTCTGCCGGGGATCCGACCGGAGCTTCCTGCCCTTCACACCTCCTCTTCCTCTCCTCTCATCTCCCTTTTCATCCCTTTGTGCTTCCTCCCTCCTCCTCATCCTCTCATTTCTGCCTCTCATGTCAGACTTGTCCCCCTCCCTCTTTTTTTTTCCTTCTCTGCTCTTCGTCATCTTGCTGAGGAGGTTAAAAATAAATAGAACTAGACGCCAAATAAAAAGGCTGGGGCCCCTTGTAAATGGACTGGGAAACCCCTGACACCACAGAAAAGCCCTTCTGCATCATATATAAATATCTTTAGGCAAAAAGGGCTGAGATTTCTGGAAAGAGATGTTTTCTGACAGGGAGAATGAAAAAGATTTTGGGGATATTTTACAGAAATGTTGGGATTCTCTTTTTAGATGAAACTCCCTGGAAGACAATATGTTTAAGAACCATTCCTTTTTAAACACGCGTGCAGAAAACTATTCACATTTCCCCCTGAGTTAAAACAAACTGGGTTTCACTTCTTCTGAGCAGTGCTTGTATCTCTTACAGTGATTTGACATGAAGAACAAAGTGGCTCCTGCTTGGTGCCTTGAAAATGGTTTTCCAGATAAAAAGCAAAAATAAGCATTGGTGTCAGTGGACGGTCCATTAAGATGTTTGTGCCTTGTTCATTAAGGTTCCCCCAGTAGGTTTTTTGTTTATTTGGCATTTATTTTCTGTTTTGACAGTAGACTGATGAATGCTTGGCAGATCCCTGAATATCCTCAATAGGCATGGGCCGGTAGGAAATTCTCACAGTCAAGGTTTCGGTAGACGATCCAAAAAAAAAAAAAAAGAAATAGTGTTAAAATTCATTAACTTCAGTAAACTTCAGGATTGAATTTGTGATGTTTGTAAAATGTTTAGATTAGTTTTAAAGTCTAATTGTAACAGCAAAATAACAGCTAGCCAGCTACTAAAAGCATGCTAGCAAAGCTAGCCTCAAACTTCAATTGATCTTTGCTGATCAACTGGTACAATTCTTACACAGGTTTAATTTATCTTTATCCAGATCAGTTTGTTTACTTTGTAAAATATCAGCTTTTGATTCTTAATAAATTATGAGTGGCGTTCCTTCAAAACAGAGGAGTTTAGCTTTCTTGCAAATGAGGTGCAAGTGTTGAATCTTCATAGGAAGTGAACAGAAACAGGTTGGGGATGGTCACTACTCTTTCCATTTTGCATTGGCATCTCTCGATAAAGAACTTTGCATGGAAAATATTTTACAAGTTTTTAAATTCTATCTTTGTCATCAATTAAAATTGGTACCCGACCCATGCCTATTTCTCATCTACATAGAAAATTACTATTTATTAATGCAATTAATAAATAATTAATGGTATTAAATCACCCAAAACAAGCACTTTTACATACATAGAAAAACACAATCAGGAATTTACTGTTGTACTTCAAAACCAGTCAAGCACAAAAACTATATACATCATTACATCACAATTTGTGGGCACTCCTGCATTGCTAGTTTCAGGCTAAGATGAACACTGTGTTAGACCAATAAAGGCAAAAAAGTTCATTTTTATACTAATACTCAAACCTGAACCCCATACAGACTCACAAACATGTTTAAGGTTTCTACACTTTTTTTTTAAAAGATTGTCAGCACCTCTTTCTCTCTGTGTAGCACTTTGAAGTGATGCAATACTGTATTTGTAATTTTATGGGTTGATTTGCACATCGTTGGTGATTCCGGACCGAGTCGATCTTTGTTCTGAGAGATGAACCAAAAGGGAGCCAGAGGATGAAAAATGCAATACTTTGTACAGATGTGTGTAGTTTGTATCTGTACGTCTTAATATGCCTCTCTGTGTTCAGTCCCATCTGCATCCCTCTCTCTCTCTCCGGTTGACCATGGCAATATCGACCCTTCAAATGGAAACATGTTTCCCTCAGTTTCATTGTGGAATGAATGACCTGTGCATTTATTTATTACTGAAGATCTACTGTTGAATAAATAATGTTCTTACATAACTTGAAAGTAAGTGTTTTGTTTTATTCCATTTTTTTAAATTATTATTTTATAAAAAAATAATGCAGGCATCCATGATGGCATTTAAGTAATAAAAATGCTGCAAATAGTTTATCAGTAATGTTGGCAGTCAGACAAACACAAAGATAATTATGCCTGGTGATCTTTTTTTTTTTTCTTTTTTGCAGATTTTTCTTGCATAACTTCCAGTCATTTTATTTTAGATTAAAATATTTTAACAGCGACAATAAGGTACAGATTTGTATCTCTTGCCACAATTATTAGAAGTCTTAATTCTGAAATGATTGGTAAGAAAATAAAAACAGTAAACATTAAAAGGAAAACAATTTAACACAAACAATGTTTTCCTTTGAAAAACTGGAAATATTAGCCATTATTTTTGAGTCCTGGATGATTCTGGAGTAAATGTTAGCCAGCAGCGCCACCCACTGTTAAAAACATGTAATTGTCATAACTTCAGCCTTTTCTAACATGCATGGCAAAGGAACAAAAACACATATCATGATGCAGTTCAGGTTAAATGTTGCAACTTCTTTAAAAGTTTTGGTCGCAGTTTAAATGATGTTAAATTCACGGATTTGTATAAAGAACCATCTCATTGCAAACATTTTCCTATCAAGACTAAAATATCTGACTCATCTAATTGCATTTTGGTACAGCTGTTGTTCCAACAAATGTTTTTTTTCTTTCTTAATTATCAACTGTTTTGTGTAACAAAACAAAAAACAAAAACAAAAGAGAAACCTCCACTGTGAAATAAAGTTAAAATTATTTTTTATTAATGATTTTCTTTTGTACAGGAGTTTTTGAGTTTCACGTTCGATCTGTACAACCATTTGTACAACAGCAGGTCGGACATAACGGATAAGGAAATGTGTTATTTCATCTGATGCTTTGGGCAGCCAGAAAGTGAACACTGATTTATTTTGCAAACACACACACACACACAAATACAGTCCCTCCAGTATATACACAAAAACATGGCTGGCAGAGACAAAATCAGCAAGAGACTTTAAACCGAACAGGAATTAGTCATAAAAACTGTTTTTACAGACAAGTCATCCATTAAAAGGCCCATCTGGAGTTTTACTAATTTTTAATGAAACAATGCTCAGCTTAATAATGTCATTAAAAATGCTGTATGAACCAAAAACTAATTAAATTTTAGACTGACATCATGGTGATACACAAAAGATTTGTTTACATAGCCGCCTTCTTCTTCTTCTTCTTCTTCTTCTTCTTCTTCTTCGTGTGAGAGGAGGTTGTGTGAGGAAGAGCGGAAGGAGAGTGAAAGAGAGCGTGTTTGTATATCTTTATCTTTTCTTACTGTCTTTTCACTGGGTGTCTAGTTTTATTTGTTTAATTGTAATTTTGTGTTAGTTGTATCACGTTTTAAGGGGTTTTTTGTTCGTTTGTTCGGGGTGTGGCCGTCGGGCGTGCCTGGCTTGCCGGCGTCTGACGGCAACAATGGTGGGTGTTGGTGGTGGGTCTTTCTCCACGCTGACACGGAAGAACGGCATCAAGGTGGGTGCCGGCTCTCCGTGCAGCGTGGAGGAAGTTTGTTTAGCGGTTGGAGAGGTGATTGGGCACGGGTCTATTCGGTCGGCTGCACGGATGAATGGGGCGGTGGTTTTATTTGTGGAAAAAGTCGAACAAGCTCAACAGTTGGTGGAGGCGGGCGTGTCCGTCAACGGCTTATTTCTGCAAGTGTCACCGTTAACGCTACCAGCAAAAAAGGTGACACTATCGAATGTACCGCCGTTCATTAGCGATGAATTTCTAGTAAAGGAGCTATCGAGGCATGGTAAGGTGGTTTCACCTGTTAAGAAGGTACCATCAGGGTGTAAATCACCTTTATTGAAGCATGTAGTTTCTCATAGAAGACAACTGTTCATGCTTCTAAACAAAAAAGATGAGGAACTAAACTTACGTTTTCATGTGAGACTAGATGACTTCGACTACGTGCTTTTTGCAACCACTTCAAATATGAAGTGCTTTGGTTGTGGACAAGAGGGACACATTATAAAAATGTGTCCCGACAGGGCCGGGCTAGCCGCTTCGGTATCGGAGGAAAAGCAGCCCCCTGCTGGGCAAGATGGCGAGGCCGCTATTGCTGCTGCGGCGGGGGAACCCGCTGCTGCGGCGGGGGAACCCGCTGCTGCGGCGGGGGAACCCGCTGCTGCGGCGGGGGAACCCGCTGCTGCGGCGGGGGAACCCGCTGCTGCGGCGGGGGAACCCGCTGCTGCGGCGGGGGAACCCGCTGCTGCGGCGGGGGAACCCGCTGCTGCGGCGGGGGAACCCGCTGCTGCGGCGGGGGAACCCGCTGCTGCGGCGGGGGAACCCGCTGCTGCGGCGGGGGAACCCGCTGCTGCGGCGGGGGAACCGGAGAATGTTGATGAAGGGTCAGTGGAGGACGGAGATAAGAGTGGGAATGTCGGAAAAGGTGAGAGCATGGCGGTGTGTGGTGATGGGGTGAATGGTGGTGTGAGTGAGAGTGTGGAGCAGGTGAATGACGGTGTGGAAAGGGATCTGGAAGATGTGAGGGGCGATGAGGAGTGTCAAGTGTATGAAGGTGAGGGAAGAGAAGCTCAGGCAGAAGGACAAAGCAAAAGGAAAGGCAGTGTAGAGTCGGTGGTAGGGGATGGAGCAGAGAGAGAAACGGGTGAGGTAGAGGAAGACATGGACTTCGAAGCCAGTGTCCCGGCAAAGAGACGCAGCAAAAGGCAGAATGTAGTGGCTGCTGCAAAAGCTAGCAAACAAGCTAGCAAGTTGACTGTAGAGAGGAGGGAGGTGTCAGACAGCAGTGATACAGAGAGCTGGTTCTCTGACGCCAGCGAAGCCTCTGTATCAAAAATGGACAAAGAACCGAGATACCCAGCAGAAGCCTTTACAACCTTTTTAAGGCAAACAAAAGGGTTAAAGGGGGTAAAATTAGAAAAATATTTCCCTAATTTAAGAACGTTTTATTTCTCTGCCAGACACCACATCAGACACAAAGAAGAATCAGATTTTACGGACACAGAAATTTACAGGTTAAAAAAGATAATGTCAAAAGTTAGAAAACAATTTTAATGATGTATAGTGATTATTTATTATTTATTGTAGTGTTTGGTGGGTTGGTTTTAGTTTTTACACAAGATGGAGTCTTTTAAAATAGCATCTTTGAATTTAAATGGGGCCAGAGAGGTTGAAAAACGGGCATTAATTTATCAAATGTTAAAACAAAAGAAAATTGATGTAATTTTTCTGCAAGAGACACACAGTGATCACATATTAGAAACGGAATGGTGCAGAGAGTGGAAGGGAGAGGTCATATTAAGTCATGGCACATCTATGAGTGCAGGGGTAGGCTTTCTTTTTTCTAAAGCTTTTACCCTATTGCTATTGAAACCGAACACGTTATAAAAGGGAGGTGTCTTTTAATAAAGACAAAATTTGATTTTTTTAGCATGGTTTTTATTAATATTTATGCTCCGACTACCAATGCAGAGAAGAAACGTTTTTATGAAAAAATTGGGGAAAGACTAGGTGATTGCGGGCCAGAAGATTATGTTTTCATAGGTGGGGATTTTAATTGCACTGAGAACGAGTTTTTAGACCGCAATCATGCAGAGCCGCACCCGATAGCCCAACATGTCTTGAAGCAGCTGGTCTCGTCTCATGGCCTGGTGGACGTATGGAGGAGGATGCACGCAGGCTCCAGGCAGTACACATGGTCCCATATTAAGGAAGGTAAAATCTCTTTAGCTCGTTTAGATCGTTTTTATTGTTTTAAACACCATTTTAACGTGTTTAAAACATGCCAGATTTTACCCGTGGCTTTTACGGATCATTCGTTGCTTTTAGGTAGTGTTTTTATCAGAAACATTTTACCTAGAAGCGCGTACTGGCATTTTAATTCTGCTTTGACTTACGATCAGAGTTTTAAAGAGGTTTTAACTTATTTTTGGAACGGTTTTAGACAAACGAAGGCTGATTTTATCTCCATCAGACAGTGGTGGGACTATGGAAAGGTCCAGATCAAACTGCTGAGTCAACAGCACACTGTCAATGTCACTTGTGACATTGCCGGATCTATCAGAGATCTGGAGATGAGCATAGTGGAGCTAGAACGACTTAGTGACGCCACAGGAAATCGAGAGCATATTGAAGCTCTCAAATCAAAAAGGCTAACTTTGGCCAACCTGCTGGAGAATAAAGTCCAAGGCGCGTTGGTCAGATCCCGGATGCAAGACATCGCAGAGATGGATGCTCCCTCTGGCTTTTTCTTTGGCCTGGAGAGGAAGCACGGGCAGAGGAAAATGATCCACTCGTTGCTGTCGGACACGGGGCAGCATCTGAGCGAACCAGGGCAGATAAGGAGGAGGGCTGTCGATTTCTACCGTTCACTGTTCCAAAGCGAGAACAGGGAGAACGACGAACTGATGGAGGAGTTCTGTGAGGAAACTGCCTCAGGTCTCTGAGGAGACCAACAGCGAGTTGGAGCGCCCTCTGAGCATGCAAGAACTCCACACAGCCCTCCTGGGCATGCAGGGCCAGAAGTCCCGGGTGTTGATGGGCTCACGGTGGAGTTTTTCAAGACCTACTGGGATCTTCTGGCCCAGGACATGCTTGAGGTGTGTAATGAAAGTCTGGCCACTGGTTCGCTCCCCTTGTCCTGTCGTAGGGCGGTCATCGCCCTGCTGCCCAAGAAAGGGAACCTGCAGGATATAAAGAACTGGCGCCCCGTGTCCTTCTCTGCACCGACTATAAAATCCTCTCCAAGGCCCTAGCCACAAGGTTAGGAAGAGCCATGGAGCAGGTCATCCACCGGGATCAGACCTATTGCGTCCCCGGCAGGTCTGTGGTAGATAATATCTACCTAATTCGGGATGTTTTGGAAGTCTCCGGTTCATTGGGTTTACAAACTGGCTTGATTTCACTAGATCAAGAAAAGGCTTTTGACCGTTGAACACGGCTTCCTCTGGAAAATTATGGGGAAGTTCGGGTTCAGCGAGGGTTTTATCGCCAAGATCCAGGTATTGTACAGTGACATTGAGAGTGTGCTGAAGATCAACGGTAGCCTGTGTGCTCCTTTTAGGGTGTGTAGAGGTGTCCGACAGGGCTGCGCGCTCTCGGGGATGCTCTACGCACTCTCCCTGGAACCCCTCCTGCAAAAATGCGCTCAGAGATCCATGGCATGGTTTTACCTGGTTTTAACAACAAATTGGTTTTATCCGCCTATGCTGACGATCTCGTGGTTTTTATTAAAGATCAAAGAGACGTCAGCGCTTTAACCGAGATCATACAGAAATTCTCCATGTTGTCTGCCGCCAAGGTGAATTGGGAAAAGAGCGAGGCCCTGGCTGTTGGCAAGTGGGCTGAAGGACTCCCGGCTCTCCCCAAGGGCATGACTTGGAGGAAAGATGGCTTGAAATATCTTGGTGTTTTTTTAGGCGGAAAGGACTTTGAAGAAAAGAACTGGGGAAACATAGAACAAAAGATAACAAATAAACTTGCCAAATGGAAATGGCTACACGGCAAAATGTCTTATCGAGAAGAGTGCTGGTGTTAAATAACCTGGTTGCCTCACAACTATGGCATAAACTTGTTGTGTTAGACCCGCCATCAAGGCTGTTGGCTAAAATCCAAACAGAAATGGTGAATTTCTTTTGGAATAACCATCATTGGGTACCGCAATCAGTGTTGTTTTTACCTAGAGAGGAGGGGGCCAGGGCCTTGTCCACCTGGCTAGTAGAGTGGTTGTTTTTAGATTGCAGTTCTTACAGAAATATTTGACAGGATCTCCTGTATGGAGAGATGTGGCCAGCTGCATTTTGAGACGTGTGAATTTATTGGAGTTGGATGCTGCTCTGTTTTTAACAAATTTTAGTCTTTTAAAGTTAAGGGAGATTCCGCAATTTTATCAGAGCGTTTTTAAATCGTGTGCTCTTTTTAAATTGCGTAGATCGGAAACGAATGACTCTCTGCATTGGCTTTTAGAAGAACCATTGGTCTGCGGAGCAAGATTAGACGTCGAAAAAGACACGTTCCTAGGACTATCAGAGACTTTGAGCAGAGCTGGACTGGTGACTTTAAAGCGGCTGATCCAATTTTCTGGAGCGGATTTTGGAGACGCCCAGGGGGTTGCCGCTGCAGTCAAATGAAGTCCACCAGAACAATGGAACGTGTCCTGGGGAAAGTAAAGGAGAGACTGGCTGCAGAGGAGAAGGATTTACTGCAGTCATACAAAGAGAAGGAATGCCTACCAAGAGACACGGATCCATTCCCAAAGGTACTCCTGAGTCGGGCTTTGAAGAGGACAGTGGTCCCCTTTTAAAGAACACGGACTCGGAAATGGACCTGTGCAAGGTAATACCAAAGACACTGTACAAAAACTGTGTAAAAATCCTAAACAGGAAAACACTCCAGGGGAGAGCTGTCAGCGTGTGGGCTGATAAGCTAAAAGGACAGCCGATACAATGGAGGACGCTATATAAACTGCCAATTAAAAAAAGGACTGGTGACCTCCAGTGGAGGGTGCTCCACGGCGCCATTGCCACAAATGCTTTTTTATCGGTCATCAATCATAATATTGTAAATGAGTGTCCTTTTTGCACCTTATCAGAGAGTGTTTTTCATGTTTTTATAGATTGTACACGTTTAACTGGTTTTTTTAGTTTTCTATCGACTGTTTTAGTCTTTTTAAAATGCTTTTACCAATGCAGTATTTATTAACGGTGTACCTCATAGTAAAGCAACTAGTTTTAGATCTCGGCTTTTAAACTATTTATTGGCTGAAGCTAAACTAGCTATTTATATCACTCGAAGAGATAGGATGCAGGATGGACCTCAGTTGGATGCTGTGACCCTGTGGAAAGTGAACATAAAGGCGAGATTGAGATTGGAGTTTGCTTTCCACAGGGCCACCGGGAATTTGGAAAAGTTTTTGGATTTGTGGGGATGCGATAACGCACTATGCATCATCTCAGAGAGAAACGAACTAATTTATAAAAAAATACTATTATAATGATTTTATTGATGTAAAGAGAAACATTGTGAATTGTGTATATATATTTGTTTAATAAATGTATTGGTAAAATCAAAAAAAAAAAAAAATCTTCTTCTTCATCTTCTTCTTCTTCTTCTTCTTCTTCTTCTTCTTCTTCTTCTCTTAATGTGTGCAGTGTTCATCAGATGGACATTTTCATGCCAACCTAATTTCATGCTTTTCAGTTTTTCCCCCATTTTCTCTTGCGGCAATTTATTCTGTCCACAGGTTGATTAACGTTCTGGTATTTTCCGTAATGAATTGAATTTTTATTTTGTCAAAGCGTCTCATTGCTCACTGGATTAATGTCAAAGGAAAACTGTCTGATTTTCCCCAAAGCGTTGGAATGCCAAATAATGAAGTGAGAACTTTACTTTCTAACAAAGAAAAAAAAAAAAAAACTAAAACATACACACAATTAGTATAAACATGAATGAAATCCCATCGGAGCAAAGAAACTTTTCAGTAATTTTTAAAAAAAATGTGTGAAACCAGCAGTCTCTTTTCTTAATTGTGTCATTATTAGAAAACAGCGATCAACAGGAGGATATGGTCAGGAAATAAAATAGACAGTACATATTGTGTACATATAAAACGCAGAGGCTCTGCGTCAGCCTCTGCTTCATGTTATTGAGAACTTGTGGCATAAATAAACACCAGCGATCCGTTCAGTCTGTGATCTGAATGGCTCAGAGAAATACAGTGAGAAAAACGTCACTATTTACAACTAACCCACCACCTGACAGCTTTACAGTAATGCCCTCCTGAATTTTAACTACTGAAAATAAAAGCGTACCCTTTCACTCGTTAGCACAAGCGGGCGGTTGCACTGTTCGGCCACTGGGTGGCAGCAACAGATAACAGCCAGAGAGGAAAGGGACGAGAAGGCAGCAAGTTCATGTAAACAAACACACCTTTCAAAACATCTCTGAGACAATACATGATACAGAATAATAGTAATAATAGTAGTAATGATACAAAACTAGCTTTACATATGAATTTGAATGAGTAACTGAGGAGAGGCACCTTTTATCTTCCATCTTTAAATCTGGTACATTCAGTTTCTTCATCTCAAACTTAAAGTTTTTTTTAAAGAAAAAGTTAAAATCCATTCAAGAAAGGAATAAACTTGTTAAAATTTCACCTCTGGGTTTTGGGGCGTTTCTGGCATTTTACAGCAAATTTTAGCTGTACTGATTAAACCTGGTCTATCCCAGTACTGCTGTTCAAACACTTACTGGTGTTTAGGATGTTGAAGTGGTTTACACTGACATAAACTGTGAATGTTAAAGTGATTGCACTGAAAGTTTAAAAAGTGAATTTTTTTTTAAATCAACGCTTCACAGAAGTGTCTTTAATTTGTGTTGAATAAACAAATTAAAGACACTTGGTGTGTAAATATTAGTTAAGGTCTGGAAAGGCAGCAGTAAGTGTATTTTTACATTTCTAAACATTCGTATAGATAAAGTCAGAACTATTTAGGTGATTCGAAGAACAGAGAGGAGAGATTTAACACTCAACACCTCAACAATCTCATCTACTCTCACATTTGGCCCAGAAATTGAGCAGAAACACAATAAAAACATGCAGCACTCTGCAAAAGTCTTCAAACCAGTTAAACTCTCTTACATCACAAATCGTACAGCTACAAATTCCAATGAATTTCAAAAGAAATTTCTGTGATACTCCAACCATGTAATAGAGGATAACAGTCCAGTCTACATTTTCTGTCCTCTAAAACGGCTAAGTTCAGCCCTCTTTACCCTGATGCTTCAAAATAAAATCAAATGCAAGCAACTCTCTTCATGTTGAGAGAGCTGTGCATAAAGACCTGGAATGTTTTTTGGGGAACATTAGAGAACAGACAGACCAAGTAACGTACTTTAAAAAAACTTGGATAATTTCCCTTCCACTTTAAAATAACAAACTACTTCCTGTTGGTCTATAAAATAAAATCTCAATGAAATACACTGAGGGTTGTGGTTATGACCTGAAATTGCTCAACAGCTCAATGGCTGAGGATACTTTTGCAAAGTACTGTATGTAGTGTTGTTTTTATTATTAGTGTTCATATTTTTGAGTTTAATGTTTTCTGGCTGCTCTGTAAAAGAGCCGATTTATCCCAAGACTTGCTACAAAGCGAAGCTGGTCCCTTTAACAGAGTGCAGTGGAACGTCTGCAGCGTTGGATTGTGGTCCGACTGTGTCCCGTTAGCCTTTGGCTTGTCGCCCCCGGGGTATCATTTGTCTACAGCTCTTGTTATTTCTGTTTAGACTCATTTCACGCTGTCTTCTTCTGTCTTGTTCGGTCCTGCAGGGTGGAAATGTTCGATTAAACGCTCTGAATTTCTTTTCTCTCTGCATGACCTTTGCTAAATTTCTCATTGTGAATGATTCAAAACAGCAAAAGAGGACCGGCTGTTAAAACAAACCATTAAGCTGTGAGGACAGAATGGATGAGCGGCATACAGGTACCAATAAACAGTCTGTTTGATTTTTACTAAGCCGCAAAACGGCTGAGCAACGTGCGTCTCCTCCATATTATCACACTAAATAAGAATGGATTTCTGCCGTCTGCTGACTTTGGACTGAACTTACAGGTTAAGCCCGACTCAGCTTGCTCTTTCAGCATCTTTTGAGGGATTCACATCACCCCCCTACAGAGACTTCCTGTCCAGGTGTGAACTGTTTTTCCCCTCCTTTGCTTACAGTCCGTTTAGGAAATTGTTGTGGTCATCTTCAGTTCCAGCTGTGATGGTCCTTTAGGACTTCTGCTCCGCAGTGGCAGCAGGCGCAGCCAGACTGTCAGGCTTCATGATCTGATAGGTGATCAAGTACTCTGGGTAAGCCTGAAGAACACAGAAAACATGAATGTTGCGTCATTTCAGCACAAACCGAATCTTTTCTAGATGTAGAAGTAAAAATTACTGAAAATATTTGGTGCTTAATATATATTGGCATACATTAGTGATTTTAGAATTCGCCTGTAATCAAGCTAAATGTACATTTTGCATTTAAGGTAAAAACACTTTTGTCTTTAAATATGTTTCACCCGAAACTCCTCAGTTGGCAGTAGTTTTAACTTCATCCAGTTTCATTTCACCAAATGAATGCTATTGAACTGGACTTTTAACCACTAAAATGTTTATGTTTATAGTTGAAAAAAGTAATGAAGAATTTGTTTATTCGCTTCTTTTAATGTATTACTGATACCAGGTAGAAAAGCTTAAGTGGTTAAACTACACGGAATAATTGATTACTAACACGATCGTTACTTACAGTACTAGTACAAACAACGTAATAGCTAAAAAAAAAGTGTTTAATCTGAATCATTTTTCAGTTTTGAATTTTTAAAAACTGACCTGCTCCCCTCTGTAGATGACGTACTCGGCGTACGCCAGCCCGTTGACGCTGGGTCGCCCTATGACTGAGTGGTGACCCGGGGGGGCGTGCGCCATCTTCATGGCGCTGAACTGAAGAAACGATTTACCCAGAGTCACCCGGCAGAACAGCATCTGTCTGCAGACGCGTGCAGAAGGACAAAAAAAAAAACATGAAATTCCCCACCCAGTGTGCTTCAATCTTTAGTTCTCTGATTAGGAGTTGACCGTCCTGAGGAGGGGCCGACCTGTGACACACGTAGCAGGAGCGGTCTTTGTGAGTGGGACACCCCGTCCCGCCACCGATCCCGTAGACATACTGGTTGCTTTTAGAGGAGTTCTCTGCGAAGTAGATCCCCGCCCCAAACATGCCGCCGATGTAGGCGTGTCGCTCATCAAAACCCTTATGGATGATCGCGTTGATGAAGGGGGAGCCTGGGGAAGGGAGAAACTCATTGTTGAACCAGACTTTTTTTTTTTAAATCTTCCACAGTAAATCTATTAAACTTCTTTTTTGTCTTTAGTCAGAAAGTTCAACACAAGTTGCTCTGAATGCCTCAGTAAAGGATGTGAAAGATTGCCTCTGATTCACAAAGAATGAAAGACGGAGAGCATCGCAGGATGTTTTTTCCTGGAAAATCTACGATCTGAGAAGGAGCTAAGATTAGTGGAGCCAGACAGGACATTTCAGGCCTCAGAGAAGCCAGCGGCTCTGCACCGCGCCGCCTTAAAAGAGTAGTGACAGTCTGACACTACGCTGCGGTCCTGAGGCCGCTGTCCCCAGTAAGCCGTGTGGTTGAAAGGGGAAGGATGATAAACGAGATCCGCTCAAGCTTCCAGCCGAGCTGGAAGAAAGAAAACGTGGGAGTTCAAAGTTAATCTTCCAGAGCATGAATGGCTGAACCTTTGCTAAGCTGCGTTTTGTATCTGTCAAATGGGAGAAAGTCACTACAAACTCCAGGACATCTCCAACACGGGTGGGAAAACTCTGCCTCATTTTGTTGCTCTTTCTCTCAAATAGTGAAGAGTTTGTAGCTTGCAACATATTTTGAGGTTCAACCTGTTTTATGGTCATAGTTTGTTTTGCTTTCTGGATCAAATCAGAAAAATAAATATTTTAGAACCTTGAAGTTCTAAAATAACCACCTTCACATTACTGTAGAGTAAAAATCACTAGCAAAAAAAAATAAAACCTGGCCAAAACTAGCATTGTTAAATATTTAAATAAATATAAACAAATAATTGAGCTACAAAGAAATCCAAACTTTTGCAGATAACTGTCAATTTTGACCAAACAATTGACAGCTAAAGATCCAAATACATCAAAATTTATTTATATTTTTTAATTAAAATTTAGTTTTTTATAAATTCATTATTGTGTAATATATTAGCAATAATATGCTGTGATAGCACTGAAATTAAACTGTTTTTATAAAGTATTGACTTATTTTCTATTAATACAAAATTTTACGATATAACTTGAACCGATGGATAAACTGTACAAAAATATATATATTTTTTTTTACAAAAGCATAAACAAATAAATTCATTTTAAGCAAATTTTTACATTTCTAAAATTTTTTTGATTTTATTCATATTTTTTTAAGTTATGAAAAACTTGATAATAGATTTAAATTATCTCTAGACAATAAAATGAGTGTATTTATTTCAATCAAAAATCTAAAAATAAGCATCATTTGGACTTTATTTTAGTTTCAAAAGTTTGAACAAAATACATCTCAGTCTTTTTCTTTTTTTTTTTACCATGAAACAGCATTCGCTCATTATGGTGGTTGTGATTCTCATCAGCGATTTCCTTCTGCCTGTGTGCGTATCTCTCACGCAGCTTCTTGTTCACAACCTTCTGAATCTGCAGAGAGGAAGAAAGTCAGTGGGGAAAGTTTGTGCAGAAGCTCAAAAATGTGACTAAATCTGGAGCTTTAAGCAGTAATCTGGTTAAAAAAGTCATAGTACGTGTCTTTATGTGCGAGTGCAGGCTGAGTGTGAGAGCGTTTCCAGTCTGCACCTTAATGATGTTGTACCGGCTGAAGACTCCGCCTGCGTTGCCTCCGTCGCGGTGTTCTCTGATCGTGCTCTGCAGCTGAGGGCGACATCAACAAGCGGCGGCGCATTAAAAACAAGAACTAAGCACGTGGGAAACGTGCTGCTTATCTGCTATCTCAGCTGCTACAGAATCCATATATTTACTGCGGATGTGGAGCAGTAACTCATTAAACCAAATACCCGAATGGGACCCGAGGGAAATTTAGAGGAATTCAGCTGCAAAGGTGAAGCCTCAGCAGGAATGCAAGAACGGTGCTGCAGACTTACAAAAGTACGGAAAGTGACGATGGAAACAGAGCCGTAATGAGCGAATCACAAACTAGAGTCAAGCCATTTTACGTCGAAAATTACCTGTGAAATTTCAGTTAACATCTGTCACTTCTCATTAATTTAGGCCCGTTTACACAGATATCTGCTGTCTCCTTCAATCAGCTCTTCTCCATTACCAGAGTAATTCAGTCACTGATACTCGGAAGCGACTGCGACGCTGGTTTTTTGTGTCTCGTCGACTCACTCGAGTGTTTAGCTAAACGCATATTCACACTTGAAATTGAAACAGGCGGATCGTGAAGTGAAATGTGAGGACGCGCTTACTTCCTCTTCCACAGATTGGAACTCCTTGTCGTCCGGCGCCAGGTCGATCAGCACCGTGCCCTGGCTGGAGCAGTGGAACGTCAGGTACGGGTTTCCACCTAAACACACAGATTAGAAAACTCAGTTAGAACTCAAACGGTGCAAATGCAAAAAAATCTGAAAAATTTGTTGAAAAATGTATTCCACCTTTATGGCTTCAACACAGAAAAACACAAACGTGTCTAAAAACTTTATCAAACATAAACTGAGACATTAAGATTCAGATGATGCTGAAATCTGTCACAGTTCCAACATTTATCACGAGCATTAGCTTATATAAGCAGTAATTAAGCAATATGTGTGTGTGTGTGTCTGAGCGTGTGTTGGTGTATTTTCCTGACCCTGCTGGCCGCCCAGCAGCCGCTCGATGCCCTTAATGAGTTTATGTCTGTGGCCGTAAGCGTTTATGCCGATCTCCTTCAGCTCCTCGTGGCCCATGTCTGCCAGAACATCCAGCGAAATCTGCCCGGAGACAAACGACACGCCTCGTCAGATTTATGCTACCGAGAGAACACAAACTGGAAAATAACACACTGTGATGGATCAACCATACCCAGAGTAGCTGTGCATTTGACAAATACATGCATGCGCATCATTTTAAACCAATAGTAAAGAAGCAGAATTCATTAAGAATGACAGCCAGACAGATCCGTGACATATTGGAGGAAATAGGGTTGACAAATATTCATGAAAAGGGAAGGAGGGAGGATGAAAAGGTCACCGAACTGTTGGCAGTAATCACAGAACTGATATGCAAATAAATTACGGCGGATTTTTCTTCCTGCTCCGCAAATTTGTTCGCGGAGATCAGATGGGAGATACGGCTCCTCGCTGATAACGGGAGTAAATCAGCGCTTCCTGAACGGCGTTTGTGGAGAATCTACTCTGGCACTCGGCCCGGTCTTTTCTTTCTGTGGAAAAACGGTTGTCTTCCTCTCCTCCTGTTCGTTTTTCTCCATCTGTCTCCTTCGCGTCTCTCTACCCGTCTTAGCTATCTCGAGTTTTCTAATTAGGACTAAAAACAAATTACAGATGAGGCAGATGGGAATGCCATGAGGTCTGCAGATGCGTGCCCACAAAAACAAACCGTAGTAAATAATACATGCAGAAGACTCATTAAAATGTTTATAGCCCCAGAATAAAAAGTTACAAGATAACCACAGTCTTCAGGTTTGTGGGATTTAAAATGTTTATTTTTTATTTTTTTTAAATCCCGGAGGAAAGAGTCAGTCCCTGTAATTCACAACAAACATGAGCAAGTAAAACAAATGAAGTTGCAGAAGTGAATGAGTTGAAGATGTTTTCCAGGGTACCTGCTCTCTCTGGAAGATGTCCCGGAGGTGTTCCAGGCCCAGACTCTTCAAGAATTGGTTGATGGTCATGTCGAGCAGAGCTGCACAGACACAGATGTCAGTAGGTTCACCACAGGCTGTTAATCATGTGAATGATCCTAAAACAGCATTTACGCACAACGACGAGGGATTACTCATTAAGATTGCTTTTCTAGCAACTTTTACTGGATTTTTACCCCCAAAATTAGGAAACTCTAAGCCTGACCCTTTATTTGTTTTCAATCTGCAATGATTTACAGATTTACTTCATGTTTAGTTTATCACTGAGCTGATAAAAATAGAAAAAATGTCCCAATTAAATACATTTTTGTTTTTATTAAAAAAAAAAAAATCAAGATAATTTTGGCCTTATGGCAAAAGGTGTGGACACTCTATGTGTTAATATTTAGTCTGTTTAATTCTTAAATAAACATCTGTTGGTCAAATAAGTATGAACAACACAACCAGGACTTTTGAAACTAAAACCGTCGCCGTACTTTCGCCCTCCTTCCTGTCAGACCCCGAAGCTCCGTCGGCGACGCCCGTCGCCCCGGCTGCGGCGATGTCACCGAGCGGCGCGGTCAGGTTGTCGATGCTGCTCGCTGCCGACAGGCAGGATGGAGACGGAGACGGCGAGATGACCACGCCGCCCGCAGCACCTGAACTCACCACTCCTGCGGTGAGCTGGGTGAGAAAGGGAGAGTTGATCGGAAGTGGAGGTTGAAACCAACAGAGAAACTTGTCAGAGCGCTCGCATGCATCAACTAGTTTGACACTCCAGCTGAAGTTTGTGCGGCTTTCATGTCCTGCTGCCGAGCTGCCAGTTTGACTGACGGCTCCGCTGCTTTTATCTCTCCCGCTTCTGCGTGTTTCGCACGTCCGATTAGTTTTAGTTTATATCTTTTATTCCCGACTAAACTGTCTGTAGAGTTCAAGTTCGAGTTTGAAATCCTTTCAGATATTATGCGGGAGCTGACTTTTCTGCTTCTTTTTTTTTTTTTTTTTTTTTTTGAGCTTTAGCTCAAAGTGTGCCTCTTAAAGATGGCTACCCATGCTGAGATCTAACTGTGTGCTTTATGTGTGTTCAGAAGCCTTCACTTAAACACCAATGATGAGAACTCACCACAGTGGCCTGCGGTTTCAAACAGCTCGGCAGGGCGTCTGGTGGCATGGCGTCAATCAGCAGCGCTCTAATGTCGTCCGCCTGCAGCAGCAAGAAAGGGAAAGTGAAGTGTGATAACTTAGAAACTTATAAAGAGTTAAGATTTCATCTGTGCTTTTTTATGCAAGTCAGATAAACTAGATACAGTTCTTAAAAATAAACCCAAGTTCATGTTTAAACTGTAGGTTTCTATGTAACAGACTAACCCAAAGTGGCTCATCATTATGAAGTATTCAAATTATTCAAATAGGAATGTGACATTTGTATTGCCCCCGCCCCCATCACTCAGGTCAGGGACAACGACGAGTTTAAAGCAGAAATAAAACAATGTGAATAAGCTTTGAAGACGTCAGAGAGAACCGATTAATTCAGCTAGAAAGGCATAAAATTACAAATCTAAGCCACCACTTTCAGACTTTTAAATAAAAAAAGAAAGCTGTTTACAAACCTGTATCAATAACCTTCTTTTGTTTCAAATCTACATTTTGTAGAACTGGCTTAGAGGTCAGCAACTTTTTTCCATTCAAAATCAACTTTTGTCTCTGGTGCTACAAAATAAAGCTCCTCCAGAGTGGTAAAAATCAGTTTTCTAAACATCTACTACATAAAATGCTTTATGAAAAAAAAATTAAGGTAAGATTTTAAAACAAAATGGATCCACAATTACCAGAACAACAACTATTATGAAAAATAAAGAAAACTAGATAACTTAGTTTGAAGTTCTAACTAGTCTCTGTCTAGTTTGAACTTTTAAAAGTCTGTTGTTGAACAAGAGCTTACGGAAAAACTCCTAAAAATGATGTAAGAGCCACAGTGAAGGGGCCCAAAGAGCCACATGTGGCTCCTGCGCTGACTCATAAAATCCCAATAAAACATTGCTGTTTGTGGAAAACAAATGCCAAACAAAAAATTAAAGGGCTATGAATGTTTTTACGAAGTGCTGTAATCAGGGAACACCTCATGTCCACGGATGTTAGCAGCAAAAGTTTTGTGTCCAAGACGACCTGTGGATCCTCAAATCAAACGTTGAATCGAGGTTAGTGTAGCCTGCACAAAATAATAACCCCGTATTTTATTTTGGCGGGTCAAACCGGACAGCACGCTTTAAATTCGGGGTCAGAACTGCACTCGGATCTGCTCAATTGCTTTTGCTGTCGCTGTGGCTGGCTGCTGGTGTTGGCGTTTTCCTAAATCGCTGAAGAATATTGCAAAATCGAGCCCAATTAACACAGCCGAAGGATTATATTGGGTATAGTCTGACAACTGCTCGACGGTGAGTCGTTTATTTTACGTCTTTTGTTTTTTTTGTATAGTAGAAATGCGGTGGCGACACGCCCACTTAAAATGATGTACTGGCGTTTTAGAATGGTCTTGTAAACTAAAAGATCATTCTTTCTTTGTTAATTTTGTGGCCGAATAGAATATATATTCTCAATGAATTAAGCAAACCTTTTGATTTTTGTAAATTTGCCCTTTACGGATACTTTTAGTTACTTTTCATTGATTTTGTTAACGGCCAATGGAACTTTGGAATTGGTTAATTTCTTTAGGGTTGCGCAACAAACCAGAAAAAAAAACTATTTGAAGTAGTAATTAAGTCAATTAAGTTTAATTGACTTTAATGTCAATTAAACTTGGATACAACTTGAAAGTGCACTTTATTAGATCTGTGACTTTATTAGATCTGTGACTTTATTAGATCTGTGACTTTATTAGATCTGTGATTTTACTAGATCTCTGACTACTTGATCTGTAACTTGATTCTAATCTGTAACATTAATGTGATTAATTTGAAACTCATTTGAATCATTTCTGATAAGTACTTTATGGAATATAACTATTTTTTGTAATGAATGTTTATGTGTCTCAAATAGCAGATTAAGCCTGTTACATGCTAATTTGTTTTATTTATGACCTTGTTTAGGTCAGGTTTTTTTTCCACCCCCGGTTTCAACCCAGGATGGTGAGCTACCAGATCACCGCAGCTTTGCGGTAGGACTAACTTGGACCAAATTGCTTTAGTTCTCTGGACCTATAGCCCTGGATCATGGACTAGGGAAAACAAAAGGACCTAGTCGGACTGTGATTGGTGGATCATTAATCACTCTGCATGTAAAGTACTGGACTTGAATGAGAAAAAGAACTCTTGGGTGTTATCGGGATTTATTTATTTATTTGTTTAATTATTGATTTATTTTTGTTGTTGTCTTCTTGTTGTAATTATTGTTTATACTCATAGGAAAATACAAATATATATTATTATTATTGAATACCTCCCTAAATATATGCAAAGATATGCTTTTGAATACAATGACTTAAATTTACAACCTGTCTGTTGGTGTTTTATTCACATGCACGGGCTCCTCAGGCGAACCCTTCTGATTGCCTATTGCTATATTTGGCTGTAGTCAGGCGCCTAGCCTCAGTGAGCGTTACACTTGGTGAGCTAGCCAGGAGCCTGTGAGTGTGAATATTTTTTTGGGGGGTTCCTTAGTTACACTTTGAATATTTATTTGAGTTTTGAGGAGGAAAAGCTTGAGTAAAATATATAATATAGAGGGGAAAAGAAAAATAAACATGGATTTTGTTGCGCAATCTGGTATAAATGTATCACAGTCAGTGATGATTACTGGTGCTACTAATACCAAGGCCGATGAAGAAATACTTGATTGCTTGAGTAGCTATGGTAAGCTTAGTCGCACTCTGTATGTAACTGATTCCTCAAGCACTTTTTTTAAAAACCTGATCGTTGAATTTGCGGATTCCACTGCTTTTTCCGCATTGCAACCGCTTTTGCCTTATACTTACTCCTCTCAAACAACCACTGATCTTGTGTTCCGTGTCACTGCTTTGGCACTCGAGTACGCAGCCACAGTCGATAGCAGCAGTAGTCATCAGCCCAACTATGTCGCTGAACTTAAGAAAATCGCTGAGCAGAGCGGCCATCGTTTTGAAGATGTATTAAAGGTAGTAATGAGCCAGATCGGCCAACATTTGCATGCAGCAGGAGCCGACGACAATTTTGGAGGTGATGCTGGCATTAGAGATGATGATGATGATGATGATTATGACGACGACGATGACGATGAAGAGGGTGGAACAAAGGTAAAAGAGGAAGAGGATACATTCATTGCTCGACAGCCAGTGCAAACAGGATTGAGATCAGGGTCATTATCCTCACTTCCTCCTGCTCATTCCTCTGCGGAGCAGGGAGCACGACCCCGACGCAGGAAACCGGAACCAGCTTCAAGGCTGACACTGTCCACCAATGACCTCAATCCACCTCAAATACAACGGGTTGTTGTTGAACATGTGGTCAGAAATGCTGATTTGACTGGTTCAACCTCACTTCGTCTTCGAACTTTTTCTGGACGGCTTCCTAAGCCGAGTAATGAAGCGGATTTTGAGTCCTGGCGTTCCCAGATTGAGTCTCTGCTTGCTGACCCCAGCTTTCCTGCGCTGCATATCACCAGAAAAATTACAGAAAGCTTGTCATCACCTGCAGCTGACTTGGTCAAAGGTTTGAGCCCCAACACATTACCAGCGATTTTGCTAAATATACTGGATTCTGCCTTTGGGACAGTGCAGGACGGTGAAGAACTGTATGCCCAATATTTAAACATTCTCCAGAATCCAGGGGAACGACCGTCCAGTTACCTTCAAAGGCTTCTGCTTACTCTTAACACTGTTGTGAAGCAAGGAGGAATCTCACCTGCAGACATTAATAAACATCTATTGAAACAGTTTTGTCGTGGGTGCTGGGACAACACTGTCATAACCAAGTTACAGCTGGAACAAAAGAAAGATAACCCACCATCTTTCTCTGATTTGTTGTTGCTATTGAGAACAGAAGAAGACAGACAGTATGCTAAAGAATCACTTATGAAAAAGCATATGGGCACATCAAAACAGAAAGTTCATATCCAGTCCCAAAGTGCCTGTCCTTGTGGACATTCTGCACCCAATGAAGAGCTGAAAGAAATGAAAAAAGAACTTCAGAAATTACAGCAGCAAATGTCTCAACTTCTGTCCAAGAAAAGTTCAACTGAATTCAAGTCCATGCCAACACAGAAGAAATCATACTCTTCTTCACCTCAGTCAAAAACCAAGCCCAAGCCCTGGTACTGTTTTAATTGTGGAGAAGATGGTCATCTTTCCTCCTCCTGCACAAGTAAAGCAAACCCTAGTCTTGTTGAGCAGAAAAAGAAACTGTTACGCCAAAAGCAGCAAGCATGGATGAAAAGAATTCAAAATCTTTAAACTAAGAACAGCTTCTATTGTGGGACACACAGAAGCTGTGCATATGAACAGTCCCAAAGAACGCCAGATAAAGACAGTGCCACGAGGTCTTGTTGGCACAAAGAGTACAGGCCAAGTTCAAATAAAAGGATTGGTTCAACTGCCTCCTTGATTCTGGCTCACAGGTTACTACTATCCCCTACTCCTTCTACAATACTTACCTCAGGGATCATGAAATTAAACCAATAAGCAACCTGTTGGAAATAGAAGGAGCTAATGGACAAACAGTGCCTTACCTGGGATATGTAGAGATTAACATAACCTTCCCGCCTGAATTGTTTGGTTTACTTGTTGAAGTCGACACACTCACTCTTGTTGTGCCTGATATTAAACCTTCTCAACATCTGATTCTTATTGGCACCAACACCTTAGATGTTGCTTATAGCAAACATTTTGATACCCATCCTGATGACTCATTTCAACCTTTGATGTCAGGCTATATAGCAGTGTATAAGATCCTCCAACACCGCTATGCCCAGAGGTTGAATGACTATAATGCAAATGTCACCCTGCAGTCTAATCAGCCTCAACTCATCCCTGCTGGCCAAACCACAGTTGTAGAAGGTTGCTTGGCTGCAAGATTATGGCAAGATGTAAAACAAGTCCTCCTTGAACATCCAAATTCTTATGCTCTCCCTGGTGGGCTTATGGTAAAAACGTGCCTCATTGACTTGCCTCAACATAGGCCCTGTCATCTGCCAGTTGTGGTAAGCAATGAGTCTGACCATGAGATTCATATTCCAGCACGAGCAGTCATAGCAGAAATCAGCACTTTCCAGAGTGTTATCTCCCAAGAGCAAAAAGTTCAGAATTCAACCCAGTCTACAGAGTCACTACAACAATCTCAACCACATTACAACTTTGGAGATTCACCTTTATCTCCTGAATGGAAGCAGCGAATCACCGAAAAACTCAACAGTATCCCTGAGGTGTTTGCAAAGCATGACTTGGACTTTGGCCGGACAGACAAGGTTAAACATCAAATCAAGTTGTCTGATCCCACTCCTTTTAAACAAAGGCCAAGACCAATCCACCCTCAGGATGTCGATGCTGTCAGAAAACACTTGCAAGAACTTTCTGATTCAGGAGTAATAAGAGAGTCTAATTCGCCATTCGCTTCCCCAATAGTGGTTGTTCGCAAGAAGAACGGCAGTGTACGCCTTTGTATTGACTATAGAAAATTAAATCTCCAGACAATAAAGGACGCCTATGCTCTACCAAAGCTGGAAGATACCTTTTCTGCCCTTTCTGGATCAAAGTGGTTCACTGTGTTAGACCTCAAGTCAGGATATTACCAGATTGAAATGGAGGAAAAGGATAAATCCAAAACGGCCTTTGTTTGTCCATTGGGGTTTTGGGAATTCAACCGCATGCCCCAAGGGGTCACTAATGCCCCAAGCACATTCCAACGGTTGATGGAAAAATGCATGGGGGAGCTGAATCTAAAAGAAGTTTTGGTCTTTATTGATGATTTGATTATTTTTGCACCCACTCTGGAGGAACACGAAGAACGCCTGATGAATGTTCTCAACAAACTTAAAGACTTTGGGTTGAAATTGTCTGTTGAGAAATGTGTATTTTTTCAAACATCTGTGAAATATCTTGGGCATGTAGTGTCCCAGAATGGTGTTGAGACTGATCCTGATAAGATCAAAACACTTACTTCCTGGCCAGTACCCAAGAACCTGAAAGAATTGAGATCTTTCCTTGGTTTCTCTGGATATTACCGCCGTTTTGTTCAAGGATATTCAGTCATAGTTAAGCCACTGCATGACCTCACTGCTGGTTATCCGCCATCCCAGAAGAAACTGAGGTCAACTGTGAAACCAGAAAATTACCTGAACCCCAAAGCACCATTTGGAGGACGGTGGACACCAGTGTGCCAGCAGGCCTTTGAAACCATCATTAAGAGATTAACTTCTGCTCCTGTACTGGCATTTGCTGATCCACAGAAGCCCTACACACTCCACACTGATGCCAGTTCTACTGGTCTTGGTGCGGTGTTGTATCAGGAGCACGACAGAACAAACAGAGTTGTGGCATATGCCAGCAGAGGTCTCTCGCGAAGTGAGTCTAAATACCCAGCTCATAAATTAGAGTTTCTCGCTCTAAAATGGGCAGTAACGGAGAAATTTAATGATTATCTGTACGGCGCTCAGTTCACAGTTGTCACAGACAGCAATCCACTAACTTACTTGTTGTCCTCAGCAAAACTCGATGCCACCAGTTACAGATGGCTTGCAGCCTTGTCTACATTCACGTTCAAGATCAATTACAGAGCTGGAAAGCAGAACATGGATGCTGATGGATTGTCTCGGAGACCTCATGGTGAGCTGTCTGATGATCTTATCTCCAGAAAGGAACACGAACGAGTCCTGAAATTCGTTCAGCAACACCTAAATGAACCAGATTATGTCCCTATTGACCAACCCACCATTGAAGCGGTTTGTGCTCGTCACATGGTGTATAGTAGAGGTGTACATCTTGACAATGCTCTGGTGTTGTCTATGTCCGCCCATGTCAACAGCCTACCGGATAGTTTTACTGACGATGAACAGTTCAACTCCTCTTCTCTTCCTCAATTCTCATTAGATGACATTGCAGTCAAACAGCGTGACGACCCTGTTATCCGCCATGTCATAGCTACACTCGAAGGAGGAGAGTCACCATCACCATCAGTGAGGGAAGAACTTCCTGAATTGCCCCTGCTACTGCGAGAAGTAAACAAACTGGAGCTCCAAAACAACCTTCTCGTTAGGAGGAGACAAGTGGGAAGTGAGCCAACATACCAACTAGTATTACCTCAGAGGTATCGAGCTGCTGTGCTACACCAACTGCATAACCAAATGGGTCATATGGGAATTGAAAGAACTCTCGATTTAGTCCGTTCCCGTTTCTACTGGCCCAGAATGTTCATCGACATTGTTGACAAAGTCAGAACTTGTGAAAGGTGTGTGAAACGCAAATCATTGCCTGAGCGAGCTGCACCTTTGGTCAACATCAAAACCACTCATCCATTGGAGTTGGTGTGTATGGATTTCCTTTCTGTAGAACCGGATCGCAGAGTCAAAGACATTCTTGTCATAACAGACCACTTCACAAAGTATGCCATTGCTGTGCCTACTCCAAACCAAAAAGCCAGAACTGTTGCAAAGTGTTTGTGGGACAATTTCCTTGTGCACTATGGTATTCCGGAAAGATTGCACAGCGATCAGGGTTCAGATTTTGAATCGCGAACCATTCGAGAGCTCTGCAAGATGGTCAATATCCACAAAATAAGAACCACTCCATACCATCCAAGAGGAAACCCTGTTGAGCGTTTTAATCGGACACTGCTGGACATGTTGGGAACGTTAACCGAAAAAACTCATTGGAAAGACTTTGTAAAACCGCTAGTGCATGCCTACAATTGCACGAAAAACAATGTTACAGGATACTCACCATATGAGCTGATGTTTGGACGCCAACCTCGCCTACCAGTGGACTTAGCCTTTGGACTGCCATTGAGTAGGGACGGATTTACCTCCCATACGCAGTATGTGCAGAAGTTAAAGTCCCACCTGGAGGAAAGCTATAAACTGGCTAGTAGGAACTCAGCTAAGGTGATGCAACGTAACAAGACTCGATTTGATCGAAAAGTTACTGCATCAGACCTGGACATTGGAGACAGAGTATTGGTGAGGAATGTGCGACTAAGAGGGAAGCACAAGCTCGCAGATAAATGGGAGTCATCTGTGTATATTGTTGTGAAGAAAGCCGGCAATCTTCCTGTGTACACAGTCAGACCAGAAAGCCAAGACAAACCACTAAGAACCCTACATCGAGACCTTTTATTACCATGTGGGTACTTACCAGTTCCTGAGGAGGAAATACCTACCAGAGACAAAAACAAATCTCCTGTGTTTTCCCCAGTACCTGCTGCTGATGATGACCAAGCAGAGGATGAACTAATCAATCCACCTCTGCACATTCCACTATCTTTTGAACCTGTCAAATTTACAATTGACCTTGATCTACCTCCTGCTGAGCAGCCTGTCGACTTCACACAATTCCCAGGACCTGTCACTGAAGAAGACCGGGACACTGAGGAAGATGAACCAAAACCTGTGGAAGGAACCACAACTGTTGAAAAGGAACAACTAGCAACAGGCAGTGAGGAACCTGAAATTGATTCTGGACAAATCACTTCTGCAGAGGTCTCCAGAGCTGATGGAAGTCTCTCTCTGGATCCTGATACGCCAGAATCTGACAAGGCAGGACTTGACATACAAGAGCTTGATGTGCCAGACATTTCCAGCTATGCTGAAGAACCTCAAGAACCAGTGGAATCAGTAGCTCTGGATACTGAAGACCAACCCCTGAGACGTTCCAGCCGTACAAGACATCCACCAGCTCGGCTACAGTATACTAAACCTGGCAACCCATTATTGAAAAGCATCCAGACTTTGCTTCATGGATTGAGTTCTGCTTTCTCCTTTGCCCATCAAGCAGATGAAGAAGAGCAGTTGATTGCTTCATACCCCAGCCAGCCACCTATCTGCTGCCAGCCTACTACATGTGCGAGGACGTACATGGGATCAGGAGGGGAGAGTGTAGCCTGCACAAAATAATAACCCCGTATTTTATTTTGGCGGGTCAAACCGGACAGCACGCTTTAAATTCGGGGTCAGAACTGCACTCGGATCTGCTCAATTGCTTTTGCTGCTGTCGCTGTGGCTGGCTGCTGGTGTTGGCGTTTTCCTAAATCGCTGAAGAATATTGCAAAATCGAGCCCAATTAACACAGCCGAAGGATTATATTGGGTATAGTCTGACAACTGCTCGACGGTGAGTCGTTTATTTTACGTCTTTTGTTTTTTTGTATAGTAGAAATGCGGTGGCGACACGCCCACTTAAAATGATGTACTGGCGTTTTAGAATGGTCTTGTAAACTAAAAGATCATTCTTTCTTTGTTAATTTTGTGGCCGAATAGAATATATATTCTCAATGAATTAAGCAAACCTTTTGATTTTTGTAAATTTGCCCTTTACGGATACTTTTAGTTACTTTTCATTGATTTTGTTAACGGCCAATGGAACTTTGGAATTGGTTAATTTCTTTAGGGTTGCGCAACAAACCAGAAAAAAAAACTATTTGAAGTAGTAATTAAGTCAATTAAGTTTAATTGACTTTAATGTCAATTAAACTTGGATACAACTTGAAAGTGCACTTTATTAGATCTGTGACTTTATTAGATCTGTGACTTTATTAGATCTGTGACTTTATTAGATCTGTGATTTTACTAGATCTCTGACTACTTGATCTGTAACTTGATTCTAATCTGTAACATTAATGTGATTAATTTGAAACTCATTTGAATCATTTCTGATAAGTACTTTATGGAATATAACTATTTTTTGTAATGAATGTTTATGTGTCTCAAATAGCAGATTAAGCCTGTTACATGCTAATTTGTTTTATTTATGACCTTGTTTAGGTCAGGTTTTTTTTCCACCCCCGGTTTCAACCCAGGATGGTGAGCTACCAGATCACCGCAGCTTTGCGGTAGGACTAACTTGGACCAAATTGCTTTAGTTCTCTGGACCTATAGCCCTGGATCATGGACTAGGGAAAACAAAAGGACCTAGTCGGACTGTGATTGGTGGATCATTAATCACTCTGCATGTAAAGTACTGGACTTGAATGAGAAAAAGAACTCTTGGGTGTTATCGGGATTTATTTATTTATTTGTTTAATTATTGATTTATTTTTGTTGTTGTCTTCTTGTTGTAATTATTGTTTATACTCATAGGAAAATACAAAATATATTTATTATTGAATACCTCCCTAAATATATGCAAAGATATGCTTTTGAATACAATGACTTAAATTTACAACCTGTCTGTTGGTGTTTTATTCACATGCACGGGCTCCTCAGGCGAACCCTTCTGATTGCCTATTGCTATATTTGGCTGTAGTCAGGCGCCTAGCCTCAGTGAGCGTTACATTAGGAGCCTCATTAGTGAAAAAGTACAATCCTTACGCTTACATGCTCTTCTTCTGGTGCTCCACTGGTAAAAATAATGAGCTATAATCACTTGGCGACGGTTCTATTTTCATACAAGAAGCGTTTGGACAGCCTGTTGTTACCGTGGCCAGGTCCAGTGGCGTCTGTCCCTCCTGGTTCTTCGTGGTGGGATCGGCTCCGTGGGCCAGCAGCAGGGCACAGAGCTGGGTGCGGCCTTTCTGCGCCGCTTCGTGGAGGGGCGTGAAAGCCCACTTGTCGGTGGCGTTCACACACGTGTTGTACTTGATGAGCAGCGCGGCGATGTCCACGTGCTAGACGGAGAGGCAAAGAGGGACGCGAAGAGAGCGGGGATTGAGACAGATGAAAAACAAAAAAGGATCAGAGTCGTCTGGTAACTGTGACATCTGATGTTAGCTGAACAAAAATAAAAGATTGTCAGGATTCTTGTTTCACTACATGGCTTCCCTCTGCTGTTTGTCCTCGATTTCCTTCCTGGGCATCAAACACACTGTAACGTGTTTATGAGGAACAGTGGGGGACGCCCTAGTGTTTTTACGTTTGTGTTCTACAACGCAGCGCTCATAAAGCTTTCATGCAAACATGTGCTTCATAAGTTTTTTAGCAGCGCCATGCTGACTAAATAGGAGAACTGTTCCACTCCGAAACCTTGTGGGATTCCAGATGAAGGAGGAAAAAAAGCCGACAAAATCACGCATCTTTTCTAGAGAATCTACACATAATAGAACTGATTCATACAGGGGGCAAGTAAAGGAGAAATGAACCAAATTTGTTATTATATTTATCACATAACACCGTTTTGTGTTAAAGACCAAAAGTGTAGTGAATAATTGGGACAAGGAAGAAAACTTCACATCAAATTTTTGTTTATAATTCAACCCGATGAACATACTTCAATCGAAGTAAAAAACTCTGTTGCTTTTACAAGGACTCCAGTAAAATAAAGTTGATTTACCTTTTGTTACTAAGTCTTAAATTATAGGTCAAAGTTTATGATGTTAATATTGAACTTCAGGTTTAAGCAGCTCAAATAGATGAGCTGATGAGCGTAGTTTGTAGAATGATCAGGGAGAACGTGTCAATAACGTTCATTACTAATCTCATACAAAAGCTAGGTGAAGCATCTCACCCCGTATGAAGCCGCGTTGTGTAAAGGAATCAGCCCTCCTTTATCCTGAGCGTTCACGTCGGCTCCGTGCTCCAGCAGATACTCGGCCACCTCCAGGTTGTTGTAGCCGGCTGGAAATCAACAAGCAGCAGAGAAGAGAGAAGAAGCAGCACTGTGATGTTAGAGATGAGGAGGCTGGATCAAATAGCCATCTCAATTCCCATTTTTTACTAAATCCATCTTACTGTTGTTTATGTCTGTTGCAATTGTTTCATTTTAAACTGTTAAAATGTATCGCACACACAATACTATTTGTTCAGAAAATTAGTTTAAAACCAGTATTTTCTAAAGAGACTCCAAAGTTATCTGAAATGCCTTGTGTTTTACAAACATCAGAAATGAAAATTGGCTGAGACAAAAAAACTGTAAGCAAAACATTTATCTAAGATATAATTTCTTCTCACGAAAAACTGCATCAAGCAATTAAATGAGATGCTCATTTTGGGAAGCTCTATAGAAGTAAAAACAAGAAACATCATAAAAATAAAATCAATGTAGAAAGAGAAACTGCAGTTTAGTTTTTAAAAGTGTTTTTTTTTATTATTCATGCTGTGTGTTGATGTTTACATAAAATCTGTTTACAGCACAAATCTTTATGCCAGAGTTTGATGCTAAAAGCCACTTAACGCAGACAAAAAGAGCAATATACGTCTTCAATTTCTATAAGAGACGAACACCTCTGGTTTGTACAGAAGGATGTTCACTTACGTATGAATCTCATTAAGCCATTGTTTGTGACTGTTGGAGTCTGAGAGGTGTCTTTGGTGGAACAAACAGATTTGTTATCGCTCTAACTGATGACACGATGATTACAGAAGCTGAATATATAAATAACAATGAGGCTTGTTGAGCCTCGGGGCCAAAATAACATTATTTCTGGCTGGTGAGACTATTTGAGGTCGCCTCGCCTTATCTGTAAGCACAGCAGAAATGTTAATGTTTAAACACTTGGCTAATTGGGGCATGGTTTTAAATAAATACTTACATCTGTAGCTGATATTTGAGATAGAAATTGTACAAGATCCCCTTGAGCAGCTGTATCCGAATGTTATCAGCAAGCAGAAACTGAAAGAACATTAGCTTTCTAACGCTGCTCAGACAAATATTTAAAAACTCCTCTTTTAGCTTAATTTTTACTGCTAGAAAATTTAAACCACTGCAAAAAAACATGAGTGTCAAAACCTAAAGACAGAGGAGTTCTGGTAAAACACTGATCTAGATGTAATTACATAACCGAGCCTGCTGGCCAGTATTATGACTTCATCCTGAAGGCTGCAGTTGCGTGGTTGTGTTTACTTCCTCACTGTTGGCAAGACGCAGCGCCAGAAAACAAAGGGCGGCTTTGACAGACAAACTGGAGGAGACTGAGGGAGTGATTGGCACCAAAAACAGACTTACTTTCACTTTCTGACGTGTTAAAAGAAACACATTCCTGGCTGCCGTCTAAGACGAGATCACCTACATTTCCATTTACATGCTGCAGGCATTCTCAGCCCTTTTAGACGCTTCTATGTGGTTGGAAGTTGCAGCCTGTTGAAGCTTCACTGGACAAACCGAACACCTTCTGCAGAAATCTTCTACATTCAGATGAAACAACAAAAGAGCTTTTTTGTGCTCAGTGATGAAAAGCCTATCTTTAGGAATCGAAGTGAGGATTTCAAATTCAAGAAGACAGTGGTGCCAGTAGGAACTATTTTGCTGCCCGCAATGCTGGAACATTGCACAAAGTGGAATAACTAATGTCAAAAATCCTTAAAAATACTTAATTAAAAGGCAAAATAATAACTTTAAAGCAATTTGACTGTAATTAGTTTGTATATAAAAAAGGTTTCTACATTAATCATTTATAGTCAACACACATTACAAGATGTTGCAATAATTTTATAATAAGTATGGCGTCACCAGCATCATGCTGTTGGGCTTCTAATGATTCGCAGCAATAAGTGGACAGTATTGTTGAATTTCAACAACAATATGTTTGAAACTTGGAAGATGAACTGGGTGTTACTACAGGAAAAAAAGTTCAAACACACTTTGAAGTCATTTTAAGTAGAAAAGGCCTGTTCAAATTTTATTTCTATGCAAATACCGTGCGCATGTGTGTGGGTAAATAATTTTACCTTGAGGACTGAAAACAGCAGAATATATTCGAATCCGTGTTTCCAGTTCTTAAAATTCACTGCCAACGTTTGTTACATAAGCAACATCCCACCATCCAAAAATAACATGAATCATTAAAAACTCCAAAAACACAGAAATTATTTTAAATCTGAAGTTTATGTAAACTTCTCACTGCAACTGCATGACTTGTTCAGCGTCCGTCTGCCTCCTGAATATTTAGAAAAGCTATTCCTTAGTGAAAATCCCTGATTTATGTAAACATTTCTGAAATTAATGTGCACAACACATAGCGTTGATGATATTGACAGTTTGGAGGACTATCATTGTGAAGTAACTTTTTTTTTATATACAAAATGTTTAATTTTATGCCAGCTATTTTTCTTTATACATCATTTATAACCTGATTTTACCAACAAGATGAAATCTGAATATTTCAGGATCAGCAAGCCTTTCTGATCTACAGTATATTGGAAACCTTTGTGATGCTCATTCAACTGGAACATTGCATTTTCACCCATTAAAAGGGATGTGTGTGTGTGCTTTTGAACACACTACCTGCCAGGTGCAGCGGCGTCGAGTTGCGTCCCTGCGTGTCCCGACAGTTGATGTTGTCCGGGCTGCAAAGCTTCTGCACCCGAGCCAGGCAGCCTTTTTTCGCAGCGTCCAGCAGCGCGGCGTCTCCCCGCAGCAGGTCCTGGATGTCCGTGTCACCGTCCTTCACCAGGTCCAGGGGCGTGTTCCCATCTCGGTTCTTTTTGGTGGGATCTGCGCCGTGCTAACGGTGGGGAAACAACAAACAATCTCTACTTGATTCAGACTGACAGCAAAAACATCAAACGTGTCCATCCGACAGCACAGACTGATCTTTAGTTTAGCCTAATTCATGACGCTTTATCTACAGGTTCAAGACAGATTCAAAAATCAAATTTGAGACAAATTTCAAACGTTTTAGAACCTTTTTAACAGCAGCTAAACTAAAACTTAACACAGAAAAAACTATAAATATATGGGATGGTTCATCCAGCCATCTGGTTACAGGAAAGTAGCTGCCAAAACTAAATTAGCATCTGGTGACAGACCAAATTTAAGACCTGCGATTGGTGAATTTAAAGCCAACTTACATTTTTTTAAATGACTGTAGACTTGGCAGCTTTTGCATAATAAATATCCTAAAACAACTGTGAAAGAGCAGAATTTCAACAAGATTGACTGAGGCTTTCCTGTAAATGTCTGCCCCTTATTTGAAATCAAAGAGTATTTCACTAGTTCACCCAGAAAACAGTCTAACGTGCAACATTGATTTAAATAAGCTGAATAAAACATTATCAGATGTGATTAAGAGTGTTAGTTTTTACACAGCTTTGACAGCGGCTCTCACTAGACTCTCGCTGTGTTGACTTGTGTGGACGCATCAGGGAAAAAGGAAGCAGTTATTCCAATTAGAGTTACTTTTAGTCAGATTTAATTGGTCTGCAGTCTGGTCAAGAAAATGACTTATTTAGTGATTTCGCTGGCAAACTTTTCACTAAGACTGAACAATGAATAATTGATTGTTTTATCAATATAAGGGAGGAGATGTTGTTGAATTTCAGTAAGAGTGCTTGTGCTTCAAACTCACTTTGATTTAGTTTCCAAAGACAGGTTTGCATGAGATCTAAGACTTAAATGGCCAGCACAACAAACCGCCATTGACATATTTGAATTACGTTTGATGGACGAGGATTTTTGAGTCCAACCTTTAACAGCAGCTTGCAGATCTCGTATTTGCCCTTCGCTGCAGCTTCGTGAAGCGGCGTGAACTTCCACAAGTCGGCCACATTGACAGAGGCGCCATGCCGGACGAGCAGCTCAGCCACCTCGTAGTGACCGTAGGAACAGGCGTTGTGAAGAGGAACCAGGCCCCTATCAGGGGGACACAGTCAAAAATATAACTTGCTTTGTTAAAACTTTGTATGAAAAAACAAAAACCCCAACAAACTAATGAATTGAATCTCTCTCTTATTTTCACACACCCTTTATCCTTAGCGTGCACGTCGGCCCCGTGGTGCAGCAGGTATTCCACCACTGACACTCTGTTGTAGCCGGCAGCGAAGTGGAGAGGAGTGGAGTGCCGTCCCTCTAGATCCCTACAGTTCACATTCTGAGCTGTACACAGCGACTGCAGAGAAACAAGAGGGAGTAAAGACTCCTCAATCAACATGCACACTCAATTGAATGCACATAAATGCTTAGAAAATGATTGCAATAACTCAGTTCTTTGTTTCAGAGAAACATTCAAACTAAAAACTAAAAACTGTTGGTAAACAGCATAAGTTGATATCAATGTTCTTAGTGTTACTGAATAGAGTAAAATTCAGCATGATCCCATACATTTGATATAAAATAACATTTTACGTCAAAGTTTTCAGGAGATAATTTATGTTTAGTCTGAATCTCTCTGAACAAGTGTCATCGAACAGGTTGATCATTTATGAAAGCATCAACAGCAGCTTCATAAACAGAAACACAGGATTATATTTTCCTGCATCTGAGCTCAGAAAAACATTCAGTGGGTGACAAAAAAAAAAACAAGTCAAAACATAAATAAAAGAGCAGAGCTCATCTCCTCCTCTGCTAATCTGTCAAATCATCATCCATTCTGGGCTCAGAGCCTCTTTTGACCCATTTAACAACTGTTTTCTAAAAACGAACATGGAAACAAGCTAGGCATCGGTCTTCTGTCTCCCCGGAGCGACTGTTACCTTTCTCTTGTATTTGTTCATTATTATTGGACAAAAAAACAACAACATAAACTGCAGCATGGTTCATTCAACCATGAGAATAAAGGTTTTATTATTCTTAAAATCAAAAAGGGCAAAAATAGACAAGTCCTTCAACTCAGATTGAACAATAATCAGATGACATTTAACAGAGCAGAAGGGACAGCTGCAAAGGTCAGAGCATTTTTATATAAAACAGAAAAAGAAAAATCACTGGATTTACTGCAACCAAAGGTTCATAACCAGTCTATATCAAACTGTTTACAGCTGGGCACACACAAGAGGATCACACCAGGTGTACATGATTAGAACATCATTACTCAGTCTCATTATTGGACGAACACAATAATGAGACTGAAAGCGATGTCTGCAGCCTGCAGAAAGAAGATAGGAGCAGCTTGTGAGAGATTTATAGAGGACATTTAAAACATTTCTAAATCTGGCAGATGAAGACGGCAAGATGTGAACAGAAATGGCCAAGAACCCTGAACGATCCTGGATCAAGCTTCACCACGTTCATGCTAATGTGGATATGACAGAGTATGTCCGTACAGCCGGAAAAGACTGCGTTGGTTTGACTTCCTTTAGAGACGGACAAGGAGGAAACCTTTCCTCTCTAAGAAAAGCATAAAAGCCAGATTGTTGTAAACGTCTGGAATGGTGTTCTTTGGACAAATGAAACGGAATAATATGGACGTGTTCGACATAAAGCAAATCTGACTGGGACAACACAGGAGCAAATCTACAACACCTGCTTCAAAAAAGAAAAAAACAATGGATTATAATTGCTCAATATAAGTTCGCACCCTTAACTTAACTTTTCTTTATACACCTGAGTTACACAACAACAATATGAGAGTCTGTTATAGCTGCTGACTTTGATGATGGTAAGTCAAGATGTGTATTTATATTTCCCTTTTTATGAACCTTGTGTCTTACGTACTATATCTATTTGTCCCTTTATGCTCTTGAGGTAAATATTTACTTAATTTCAGAAGTTAGACTGAGTAATCCTCCAGCGAAAGGCTAAAAAAAAATCATCCATCAGTTAAAAGAAAAGCATTATAAAATAAATAAACTACCTTGACGGTATCCAGGTCTCCAGCTTTGGCAGCTTCCAGAAGTCTGTAGTCCACATCAGAGTTTCTGACCGGGACGTTCTCTGTAGAGAAGTAAGCCAGGAGATCAATGGAGGCGGCAGAGCCTGGATATCTTTGGACAAACATCAGTAGGAAGAAAAAAAAACCTAAAAAATAACCTCAAACTCTGAGCCGCCTGTTTTAAGAAGGGAAGGAAAGTATTTGAATTCTCCACACATATACAGAGATATGTAAAACAATTTATACCTTGTGATCCACTATAGACGAGAAATTGCCTTTTTTCTTTAATGCTCATAAAGTAATGTAAAAACATGAGGGGTTTGGACGAGGACAAATACATTTAGATGTAATTCATTCATTAAAAGAAAAGAACATTTTATTCAGAAAATCCTGTGAGAACTTGTACCGCCGAGTCTCTTCAATCCCTAGTCGACTCACTCAAAGCCTGCTTTGAAAATATCAATATCGACCTTTCAGAACAATTCCCGGATAATCCTCCAATCTGCAGCTGATGCTTAGCAACCAAACCCCAGCACGACCTACATGTGCTCTTCCTGCTACCCGGCCACCCCACGCCGCCCGCCCACACAAAGCGCAGCATACCATTGAGAATTTGCTGCACGGCTTCGTTTCCCATCTGAGCGGCGGTGAAGCCCTGCAGGGACACCAGCGTGGCGTCCGCCCCGTATCCTAACAACAGCCTGCAGGTCTGGAGGTGGCCTGCAAGCGCCGCGCGGTGCAACGCCGTCTGGCCCAGCGTGTCCAGGGCGTTTACCTGCACACACAAACACCTCACTGCTGGGACTCTCCAAGGAGCTGCTGCACTTTATGTGCTTAAAGCTCACAGAAATGTTCCCATTGTTAATCATTTACATCTATTTTGGCAAAAAAAATAAAATAAAAAAATAAAGATCTGCATGTGTGATTTCTGGGTAAATTAGATTTAAACACAAGTAACCTGCAATCAGTAAAACACAGAGGTGGGAGAATAATGATCAACCAAATTATCTTACAAAGACATGATGTTTGATCGAAGAAAATATATAAGATGAGTAAAATGTTACTTTTTTGATTTGTTAAACTTATAATATTGAATAAATAGCTAAATTTAGAGATTTGTGAGAAAAAAACATGTTTGTAAAAAGCAATGGTTAAATCATGAGTCTGTCTGTTTGACTCAATGTAACAAACATATTTAATCCATTACTTTTTGTGTTTTTAAAAATAATCTGCTGGGGTTTTAGCTAATTTCACAGCAGAAATATAGATTTTTCTTTTAATAACAATTTTAAGAAACTGTCATGGGTAGGATTATACATCAAAACTTCAAAACGATGATTCAACAAAAAATATGGGTTGAACTTATTGGAAACAGAAGAGATTTAGGATCTCTTCCTGTTAATCTGACCAAGGCACAAAATCCTGCAGTTTATCAATGTACCAATTAAAAAACGCATATGAAAAATACATTTAAAATGACTCGTTTACCTTTGCTCCATGTTTCTGGAGCACCTCCATAATGTCATTATGAGCCCGCTCCGCTGCTACATGAAGAGGCGTCATGAAACTAGAACCAGAGAAGATATGGCAAGTTTAACACCAGCTGTTTGCCTCCCAGAAACACTGGTTGATTTCCTTTAAACAGCATCATCACAGATTTAAATACAGATAAAATGTCTCTGTTGTTGAGTGAAGCCTCATGGCAAGCTGCCATGCTTTATGGTTTTGTTTCTTTACTTTTGCTTAATCACTCCAGACTAAACGCTGAAAGGGTGTGTCATCACTGTTTGCAAAGGAAAAACAAGCTAAACTAAAATCCAGACACTTCAATATGGACTTTGAAGATAAAGAATCATAAATTTGAAGCATATGTGCCAACTGTTGTAGCATTTTATCTAAAAACAGCAAAGCTTACTTTCCTATCCATTGTTTAACAACCCAGAATCATTTGAGGAAACATTTTTTAAAGAGTTGTGCTTGCAGCAACAGGGAGAGGAGGGGTTGTCTTTGGTAAATCCTCAAAAAAAGGGACTTAACTTGAGAGGTTACGTGGTATTGAAAGCTTCACGTTTTAAAACTGTGGCGTACCTAGAACTAGATCATCATTTTTCAACCCAGCCTGTGACCCACAGAATGATACATATTTGTATAAAACAGAAACGGTCAAAACAAGTTTTATGTCTTGAAACTAAATTCACACCTGGCTTATAGTCTTGGTACCAAAATTAATCTTGGACCGGCATCACACTTTCCTGATTAATTCCTTGAATACACTCGGGAACAAACTCTCCTTTGATTATTCGAGTCAGAAAAGCAACTTGTCATCTTCACCTCTGAAATAAATCAGTGTCGGGGCGCGTCTGAAATAACCTCTTGGTGTTTATGAACGGCACAAGAAGCCGAAAAGAGCACTCACTCCTTGTTCTTCTCATTAACGTTGGCACCTTTCCTCAGCAGCAGCTCTGTGACCTGTTTCCGTTTGGGGTGTGGAGATGCCACTGCACAATGCTAACACAAACACACACAAGAGAGTGTTGGACAAATCAGGTGCTTTCACTGTGTAAGCATGTGAGCAGCACAAGTGTTGATCTCACCAGCGCCGTTTCATGCGTGTGAGGGTGTTTGAAGTTGATGATCTCCAGAGCGAGGGTCTTCTTGGCCTTGGTCATGTCTGCTTCTCGAGCCGCTTGAAGCAGAGAGTGGCCCTTAAACTCATCTGAAGAGAAGAAGCAACTATAAATATGCTTAAGAAAAAGGAATCATTTAGTTTTAGTGCATATTTGAGAACTCCAACATGAGTTTTTTCAATGTTGATCCTAATTAAAGGTAGTTTCACCAGCATCACATTCGGCCATGCTCACATGTGAGTCTCTCCTTCAGCTCAGGAGTGGGGGCCATGTCCACAGAGCTTTTGCTGTGGCAGTTCAGCAGGGTGGGGTCAGCGCCGTGGCTCAGCAGGAGAGAGCAGACCTCCACCCGGTTTTTGGAAGCCGCTTCATGCAGAGGCGTAAACTGCCACAGATCCATGGCGTTCACGCAAGCTCCATGCTGAACGTAGAGCAAAAAATGACACAATATGAATAAAAATGTAAAAAAAAATAAATAAATAAGGGCAATTGGATCCTTTGAAGTTTTAATTAACAGTTTAGGCTAGGACTGAAACGATTAATCGGATTAATCAATCACTGAAATGATCGTCAAATCATTTAATAGGCGATTAATTGTTAACTGGAGCCCACAGACTCAAAATAAAGTCTTTTGCTGAGACAAAACCATCATAATCATAGCAGTAATTAAGGCAAATATGTAAAACAAATGTATTTACATTTTGAATTTAAGAAAAAAACACTTTGGTGTGTAAATATGTTTGACCCAAAATTCCTCAAGTGGCAGTTTTATTTCTATGTGCTTCAAATTCACTAAAGGAACGCTATCTTATTGATTTTAAGCACTAACATGTTTCTTTTCTTATTTTAAAAATAAATTGGTTTATTTGTATCTTTTAAAGTATTTCTAATATCATGGTAAAAGGCTTACGTGGTTAAATGAAAGATCTGAAGAATGTGCCAATTAATCAACAAAATAACCGACAGAATAATCAATTATTAAAATAATCATTACAGCCCTAATTCAGAAAAGATTTTTCTATTTACAAACAATATCAATTCAGCTGTATGTCATCTGTTAGTAAACCTTTAAAAATACCCTGTTTGTGTGTTTACTTGTACCTTTAGCAGCAGCTCAGTAACTTCATAGTGTCCATAAGAGCAGGCGTTGTGTAGAGGCACCAGTCCACTGGAAGGAGCGAACACAGAGTTATCTTTAATAATGCGTCTCTTTAGTTTGAAAAACATTTCCCAGATATGTTGTAATGCTAAAACTAAAGGAATGCTGGTATTCTATCCAACAGTTGTTGAAATTAAAAATGCTTTGGGAAATCGACTAGAGGTGGCAGTCGGTCGATTAGAAATGGAAAAAATGCTCGAATTTGTGATCACCGAGTACCAAACCACTACCATTTTCCGCAAACAAAACACCCTTTAAAGTGGAATTTGTTCATAAGAACTGTATCTTTTTAGAAAGAGAGGAGGAATGTCGGCTCTTCACTCAGGAACAACAGGAAGTGAGGCTTTGGAAAAAGAACCTGAAATCTATGACAGCCAAAATGATAAACGAACACTATTTAGCAAAAAGGTTTTTGCTTCTCTTCAAGTTATTAATCATAGAATCACTTGTAGGTGTAAGTGACACCTTATTCTAAATTCAGAAGGCAATAAATTCTTCTGGGACTATTAAATATGTTTGTGTGTAATTCTGACCCAACAGTATTTGTGAGGTCAGACACTGATGCTGGATGAGAAGGTCTGGCTTGATGTTCTGAGGCATTCTAAAGTCAAGGTTTTCTACACTTAACTACTTTGCCGCCCTGCACTGTGCATTGTTTCAGTCGATTGGACAGGAAGTGACCGTCTCTAAACCGATCTCTCAAAGTTGGGAGAATGAACCATTTGCTGAAGCATTAAGAGTTCCTTTCTAAGTTCAGTCCCAAACCATAATCCCCTTTGCACCAAGCAATGCAACTAAACATATTATTCAGACAAGTGACGCAGTCTTAGCAACTGCCAAACCCCGACCTCAGAAAGGCATGACTCAATACACCCGAGAACACATCTCCAATGCTCTTAAGTTCATCGGCGGTGTGCTTTACACCACTGCATCCGACACTTTGCTTTGAACGAGCTGATGTAATGCTTAGGCGCCATGAAAACCAATCCTATAAAGCTCTCTACAGTTAAAATAATGGGAAGGCCACACGAAGTTTGGAGGTTTGTAGCCCACCAACATGCAGACCTCACTTTGTTATGGCCCAGCACTTTGTGTCTGACCTTCTGTGGTTCTCAATGACGTCCACTTTGTAATATCACCACTAACGGTTGTTGGTGGAATATTTAGTAGGGTAGTAATTTTTTATGATTGAACCTAATACTTAAGGCAATATAGTTTAAGTGAGGTAGAATGATGGCTAAGGAAATAAAAATCTTGAACTCCTTAGATATTAGAGAAACTTTAGAGGTTACCTGGGGTATAATAAATTTCACTTCATCTTTTACAGGTGTTACTTTGAAGTTCATGTGTATTAAATGCTGCTTGAAAAACAAATTCATTCTCACATAACATGTTTTGATTCTTAAAAAAAAAACAAAGAAAAAATTGGGTTTTTTTTGCACAACTGTTGGGACCATCTCTAGGAATGTCCTCCATCTTTACCCTCAATTGGATTTAAACAGCTTTTGTCATACATACCCTTTGTCCTTGGCGTGGACGTCGGCTCCATGTTGCAGTAACAACTGAACTATCCTCACCCTGTTGTATCCTGCTGCCAGGTGGAGAGGAGTGGACTGGAGAGACAGAGACAGAGAGGACAGGCGGAGTAAGAGAGTGCAGAAAAACAGCAGAAAATGCAGAATAAATGTCAGCCAATAGATTTGTTCTACAGTGGGTGCTGATAAAATGCTAATTTAGAGTGAGTGAGCTTCTGCAAGAGTGAACACGTCTTTATCCCCACCCTATTTACAGCCCGTAAGTCTGAGAATAATTTCCTATAAAAGTAAATGAAAAGCCGAACCTCTCAATACATTAAGATAAGATGGATGAAATACTTTCAGCTCCATATGCTGCATTTCCTTCATTTGCTCCCTGCAAAGGCCAGTCTTCCTCAAAGCCGGAGCAACACCCAGCCTGAAGGGAAAACACCCAGCAGTGGGAAGGTTCCAGGCAAACAGCCCCCAAAACTCAGCTTTTTGCAGAACGAGATGAACTAAAGAACCAACTGTGAATAGGATTTGGTTTAAATCTGAAACACCGGCAGGTAGTAGGAAATATTAAATTAATAAAAGAAACAGAATCCATTTACGGAAGATCCATGTAGAAGCTTAAACATAAACCTCTTTCATGCATGGTACAGTTGGCAGCCAATCAGCCAACTTCTTTATACCTAGTGACATTATGAAGAAAAGATTTCTTTAAACTTCAACAAGGCCTTTTACAGTTTTAGGGTTGGATATTTACCAATTTCACAATCTTACCAATGGAAAAAAATCTATTAAATATCATTCACCTGGTGATATGTTAAACCTTATCTAAAAATTCAGCTTTTATTGGAGTACTATAATCAGACACAAGAAAAAGATATATCTATCTTGTTATGCAATAACTCCTTTTTACAAAATCATAGGCATCCAGATTATTTTCAGAACTAATTACACCTAGCAAAGAAAACAGAAGAAACTGGATTTTATATTTTACTTTTAAAGTTAATCTGAGGATGTTGGAGCTTTTAATTCCTGTTTACAATGGCTTTGCAATTAAACAGGAAAATACCAATAGACTTGCTTAATATGGATGATTATTATTGAATTCCTTAGAATGTTAAGTATTTTAATCCAAAATAATGTAGTTTTAATGTTGCAAAGATATAAGGCTTTCATTGACTTTCATACAGGTAACTCTAATTGAGGTTATTTTGTGTTGTTTTATTTTACATTTTACATAGTAGATTCCTGTCACTGTGGCATGCTGTTATGAGCAAACACAGACAAAAACCCAGGCTGAGTTATTAGGAATCATAAACATAGAAACCGCAGTGTCGTAAAATACCCACAACAAATATGACCAAACTAATTTCCTCAAATAATGACAGAACAACTTCTTGATAGATTTTATACGGATCTGAATCAAAATTGACATAAAACACAAATACGTTTGAAAATGTTCAGCCAGCCAAATCTATGAGAATGTGTGAATGCATCTCTACTTTTAGAGCTTTCCCGCTGACAATTAAATAAACGGAGCGCAGCATATGCACTCCTTGGTGGAGATAATACGGCGTGTAAAATCTGAATTAACATGTTTGTTGATTTACTCACACTGAGCGTGGCAAAACAACTCTGTGTGGTGCCATAACAAGACGACACTTTTACTCAAATTTAGATATCACAATGCTAGCACAATGTCCTAGCTTGTTTGCTATTTACTTTTTAGATTTAAAGGGACATAAGTCGATCTAAATCTCAGTGCAGTCGCATCATCCCCCCTCTGCTTTGGTTTGTGCCACAGCTGCCTCCATAAAGGAATCAGTTGGGACCATAAAAACACAGTTGCAAAGATCACATCAGTCAACCACAATCTGTGAAGCTGTGAACTGAAGCGGCTGACTTTGGAGTAAATAATCCACTGGCTGCTCTCCTTGTGCATGAGTTGTTATTGGCCAGCTAAAATTTAATATTTCTGAATTAAAAATCCTCTTCCTGGTCTTATGTAACATTCAAGTCATCAGATTGGAATGTGCTCTCAGTAGCTTAGAGTGAAATGAACAGAAACATGCAAAAAGAAAACATGACTGTATAATAAATCTGTAGTATTTACTTTGTGTGTACGGTTTCAACTCTGGTCAAATCTTAATGGCCAACGAGCTTCAGAGAAAAACACTAGAAAATAAATCATGTTCAGTGATCTCTGCTGCCAGCTCCGGAGTTCATCCGAGAAGCAGCGGCAGCCAGCAGGAGCGAGGCATTGCTGCAGGGACAGATGGCGGAGACGTATTTACAGGATGTGACAGCGGCATTTGGAAGCAGGACACAGTAAGCGCTTACTCACCATCCTCATCTCTAATGTATATCTCACTATGCTTGTACCTCAGCACTTCTTATTTCAAACAGTTTGAAACCTAAAAAAATAAACAGAAGCAAATTGAAAGAAAAAAAAAACTGCCTTTCAGTCCGTCTTAAAGCATGAGCCCTGTGTTGCATCACAATGCTGGGGTTGCCTGGGTCAGACTGAGTAATTTCAGCTCCGCCTTTTCAATCTGGCAACCCTGTATGACCCACTACACACGTGTGCATGTTCGAGCCTGCTGCCACTTTATAAAAATCACGACTGGTTTAAATGATCTTGTTTTATATTAAGGAAGTCAATATGTTTGTCATTTAAAGATACAGGCAGGTATCACTGAACATGAGAGATGGCAGAAGAGTAAAATATTTTTTTTCTTCCTAAATTAAAGCTTTCACAGGAAATTGGGCAGAAGCCATGCTGTGAGCAAAAAAAAAAAAAAAGAAAAGAAAAAGAAAAAACAGCTTTTCCTGCCTATGTGTTTACATAAGCACGTCTATTCTGCCAGCACCAATATCGCCAGAAGATCAGATTAGGGCGTTTACACGATTGCCTGAAATGAATATTTCTCTAAATACCACATCTTACATAAGATATGCATGTGTTAAAATCCCGAGGGATGTGACAGGTGAGTATTCAGCCCGACACACTGAGAGTATGGCAAACTTTTGTTTGGTTTTCACTTCCATTATTCAAAAGGAGAACACAAAGAATGCTCTAAAAGAAAAATAATTCAGCAACCTTAATCGAATATGTGATCATGTATTTCCAAAACATTTTTGTTTTCAAAACATTCAGAGCTTTATGGTGGATATTTCTACAGATGTCAGACTTTCACTACATACCCTCACTAAAAAAAAAAAAAAAAAGAAATCAAGAGAATGACACATGGATGAAGAGATACATGTACTGATTTATTATTATTATTATTATTATTATTATTATTAACTTTAATTTCACGGGGAAAATCCAATTGAGACTAAAAATCTTTTACGAGAAAATCCTGGCCCAGATAGGCAGCAGCACAGTTTACAGAACTTTCAGAGAAAAACAGAGAAAGTTAACACCATCATAAATAAATGAAAGAGTTCTCAGTTACAACATTTACAGACTGACGAAAACAGCAACTTCAGGTTTATGTGTTTCTGCAACTGGTTCAAAGAAGATGGAGCCGAAAACTGAAAATATTTGACTGAAGGACGTAAATGGAAGAATGGATGAATTGACTGAAGAAAGAATGGATAGAAACAAATGGATGGGTAAACTAATCAATGGATGGATAACCAAAACAATTGCTGAACTAATGAGGCGACAGAACAAGATCAATAAATGAGCTAATGCATAGATGGACAAACAGACTGATAAACTGATAAATAGCTCAATGGGACGCTGGATAGATGAACCAAAGAATGGATGGGAGGAGAAAAGACTGATGAACAGCAAGGATGGCTAAACTGATGGATCAATAAATGAGAAAGATTTATGGATTGATGTTCACCTTTTACATTTACCATGCAGATATCTTTGTTTGTGTTTTTATGTGCAAAAAAAATTCTTAGTAAATAAAATTGACACCACACTAATCCAGAGCTAAAAACTACCAACGCCAGATGTTTCCAGATGGTGTAGCAACGCTGCATGAAGTTCTTCTGCACTCCAAAACAAGGTCACTGTGAAATAAAAATTAGTATGGCATGTTTCAGTGGAACCAAGAGTTCCAGTGGCCCACACAACAATAAAAGGAGCAATCCCCTCTCCCAAGTTTTAATCATCTAAAAGCTTTTCAGTGAAGAGGACGGCCGGAGTGGCGGAGGGGGAAGATGATGGGAAGAAAAGCCAAAGTAGGGAGGAAGGAGAAGAGGACAGCTTTTAGTCAGGAAACGACTTCGTTGGGATTTTAATTTGAAATCATCAACACTGCCTCTGAACTCAAACCAAAAACTTAATGCTGCTTTCATCTTAAACAAGATGCGTATAAATTATTCTCAAAATAACTGGATGTTTAATCTACAGCTGTGGACTTTCCCCTTTCCCATTATTCCTCATCCCTCTCTCCATCCTACCTTCTTCCTGTTTTTCCTTACGAGCCTGTCAAGCTGTTTCCATGACAACGGTGACGGCTGGCTGTCAGCAGTTGCCATAGCAATGGGAAATGATGTATTGAGGAGCGGTGGGTGGATTTGGCCCGTTGTGTTTAGTGTGGTTGAAGCGCCTGCGTGTGCAGCCAGGACGCTATTCTTCGGGTCTCCCTTTCAGATTCCGAACAGTGAATTATCGACTCGACACAAAACACAGGATCTCACTACGGAATGAAGGTCGCACGAAAAACTGTTCCTATACTCAGGTCATTCTTAACTGGTTCCTTAAAAAAAAAAACACTAAAGCTGCTAAGAAACTATTTAATTTTTGCACATGATGAGCCAGAAAAACCATTTCTGTGTAAATGTTTGCCCTTCACACTTACGTATTTTGAATCTGCAGGGATCACAGAGTAAGGAAACAGTTTTTCTACCGTGGGTCTCACAAGTGTACACAGCCGTGTGAAAATTACTGGATTTTAAGCCCCGGGAAATTTTGACCATGACAAGGCAAATACCACCAGAATCACAATAAGACATTTCCGACATTTATTCATTACTTTCAGTGAAGGCACCAATTCTTTGGACAATTATTCCCTCTGGTTTTGGATACTGTTCAGCTTTTTATTTTCAGACAATATGTAACAGTA